CATACCACTCTTCTCATGTCATTCAGTTAAATATTAAAAACCACTTAAAGTTTACTATTCTACTGCGAAGAGAGCACACAGAGTCTACACTGAGTCACAATGCACTGTGTTACTGTGTGAAATTTAAAATCAGTGGAATACAACTAGCAGACTTAGAGGACACATAAACTTATCTATTCTCAGTTAATGTAGTCAGATTTTTATTTAGAATATCCACAGCTGATGGAACAAATGATCGTTGTAGCCATTCTTCCTTGCCATTGGGACTTTAAATCTACATCCAGATGGCAGCAACTGGAGAGCACAATGAAGAGTCGGTTCCAGATAGACTTGATGTGCCTTCTTTGTTAAGGCCTGCGTGTACAAATGCAACCTTCGGTTGATCCGTGTTTTTCTCAGTAAAGGCTGCAGAAACCGCAGCCAGATCCAAACAGCCCAGCGCAGGTGCAGCTGGTCTCCTGTCCACAGGCTCCAGTTCAGGCCTGCAGCATCCAGCTGCTCCTTCCTCCGTCTGTCCGCTGTCCCTTGGCGCTAATGCACAGATAAGTTGTTGCACTTTTTAAGCCGGTTTTCCACCAAAACGGCCAACCAAAGTCCGGTGGTTACACTAATATAACAAGAATAAAATCATAATATTTTGAGAGCAAAGCTGGAATACAGAAAAACAGATTTAAGGTTTAAAATAAATTCTTTTTGATCATAAAATGTTAAGACAACAGTATCTTTCATTATATTGAATGTAAAACGTTTTTTAAATATTCAGAAACATTTTAAAGTAGAGTCGTTATTCCAACACAAACATGAAATTATTAAATTAAATCAGAATAAAATACATTGACATTTGGGGTTTACAAAGCATTTTCATGTCAAAGTTTTTACTAAAACAAAGGAAAAGTGAGAATAATATTCTTGCATCCTGGCACAAAACCCTCCAAAATATTAACTTTGACTTTCCCTCATTTCAATATCTGGCTCTCCGCCGTTTTCATGACGACTGATCTCCTTAATCATTTTGATGGCGATGATCAAACACATCATCTGAAAGAGAAAATAGACAAGAGATCAGGAGGTTTATATTCTCCCACTATGAAGTGCTAAACAAAGATGTTTTCTGTTCTTGATTTTCACGTTTCCGCCTCAAAAAGCCACTGATGAAACGTACATTCAGGCTTCATACCTGTTAAAAACCCAAGTTTTTAACATTGGTATACAGACAACAATATGCTATTAACTGTGTTTTCCGCTGCTTGTAACTTGTAGCTCTTGTTCAGAGTCAACCTATGAAGAAAAGACTGAGAAAGTGGCCACAGGCTGAGTTACTGATCGGATCGCTCTCTGCCAGCCACATGGAGCTACATCTTCTCCAAGTCTGCTGTTGAATGTCATCTCTTCTGCCATCATCCATCGACAGCAGCAGAACCAGGGACTAAAAGAGGCTCAGCAACCTGATAAGGGAGGCTGGTTCTGTTCTGGGAGCGACTGTGGAACCTCTGGAGACGATGGTCCAAAGAAGGATTTTATATAAAATCAAGAAAATTATGGAAAACCCTGAACTTCTCCTTTAAAACAGAATGTCTTCAGACAGAAGCTTCTTCAAATTTGCTGTAATACAGACTGTTTCAGGAAATCAGTAGTTGTACTTAAGTATTTTCATACAATATGGAGACATCTATAGAACTTTGTTCTGAAAGTCTTTTATTTTGTAATCTAGGGGAATCAAACAGATGACGATATTCTCAGATCCTGATGGTCTGACTTTATTTCCACAGTCCAATCCGTCAGATGAACTCCTGCTCTGCCTCCATTTTTATGAACATATTTTCCAGTGGTTGTGATATTTTTTTTTTATCTGGTCATATTTTACTTTTGACTCGTTTAAAAAACAGTTTAAAAAAGAGAATATGAGCAAAACTTACAGCAGCAATAGCAAATCCAAAATAGATGCCGAGAACAATGTTTGCCAGATGTTCAACATCAGCTCCTTTGATTTTCCCACACGACTGTAGAAGAGAAAGTGGGGGAACGTTATGAACTTAAAATGAGGATTTTATACTCTGAAACAGAACCCTGAAAGATGCTTTCACTTTTATATAATAATTTGTCCAGAATTAGTGTGCAAATTGTCTGATTAATAAAGGTTTTATCAGCACCGCCAGGGGGAGCTGTTTGGTCTTACATGTCCTTGTAGGTTTTCAAGATTCTTCCTTTCATCGTCTTTCAGGATCTCTTTGGTAAATTCAGCACATTGAGCTCTTTCCATGTGCTAAACAGAAAAGATGGATACAATCATTTTAGACAATTTTCTTTATGTGAAAGGAAAATTCACACAAACATAAATCAGAAAATCCAGAACAGATTCATTACCTGGAATCATGGGGAGTTGTTTATTCATTTCATGCCTTGTTGTTTAGACTTTAACATTTAAAACTCTTCTTGATGTAATATTTTAATAACTTATTAATTGTACATAAACTCCTGGTTTCAGCTCAATGCCAGACTCCCAGTCTGATCTGCTACAATAACTTTATTTTTTCTGCACCAAACAAAGCATGCAGTGAATTACCTGGCTTTTAAAAACGGCAACATTGATCCCAAAGCTGATTATGACGACCATTCCGATGCCGTTGACGACTGCAAACTGCACAGAAAACATCGCAGATAATTGAGCAAAATGCATTTTTATTCATGTTTTATTTAAATGAAGTGCCTGAACTGGTGTACATACAGCTAAGAGGCAGTATTTACTCTTGGTCCACGTTGTGCATCTGCCAAAAATGAAGATTACAACCAGGCTGATGGCAAACACCCAGAGCGTCCTCATGATGGGGGCGTCCAGTTTGTTCATCTGACCAGTGAGCAAAAACACAAAACGTCCAGCTGAAAATAAAACCATCGACATCCATCCATCTCATTCTGAAACCAGGTCATGTGGCGCCAGATTAGAAGTCAGCATCTTACCATCAGTTGATCTTGGTATGATTGAGTAAAAGTTTAAACTGCAACAAAAACTATTGGATTTTATAGTTCATCAGAGAAACTTTAAGTCACTGGACCAAAGCAGCCCAATAGCTCAACCCATTTCACAAACACTCATGTAGTTTCCCCACTATAACACAACATGTCAATATATACAACCTAAAGTGAACTTGGTCTCTTAACTCACTTATTGTCATTAAGAGTCTCCTGGGGAATTCTGGGTTTTTTCTAAGCTTTTCCATGATGTCAAACACATGGAAATAAAAAAGAAGTTGCTCTGTACTATAAGTGTTTCCCTTAATAACATTTTAGGGCGATCAGTAATTTAGAAGCACAATTAAAGAAAAAAATCGACTTGAGTTGCTGCGACAGAAACAAAAAATCCTCTTCTGCTCTATTAAAGTTCGCAGTTTGAGAAAGACTGAACCACAGTGAGACAATTTAATTGTTCTGAACAAATGTGTAGATATGATATAAAGGTTTATGGACAGCAGGTTATATAGTGAACACAAAGACTCACAGGATATAATTTAAAAATAAGAATGATCTCCTCAAGTAGTAAATATTCTTCTGAAACAGTTTTATGACTTTAAATATGAAGATTTAACAGTGAAGCTTGTTGAGTTTTACCACTTTCCCAGTTCCAGGGCTGCATAGCAGGCAAATGAAGAGAATCCCAAAAACCTAAAGAAGTTATGCATAGATTTAGTCAATAAAAACAAGGAACATAAAATAAATTATATATTTAAAAAATCAGATTTCCAAACATAAAATTGTGAATATTAAAGAAAACATCATGTGTCAGACATAATTCAATATTTCAGAACGTCATATTTTCAGTTGGCGAGTCATTTGATCCACATGAGGCAGATTTTTAAATAAATCAATTTAAAAATGGTGATTTCTTCTGCTTGTTGTCACATTTCTAATTTCTGCATTAAACATTAGAGGGAGGCAGACTAAACAATGCTGGACTTAAAAACATTTATATAAAAAATAAGTGATTCAAAAACCTACAAAATCTGGATAAAACTGCTGATATTGAAAGATTATATATATTTACTAAGGATAGTTTAAATAAATCCTGACACTAAACAAAGACAGAAAGGTCAGGACTCAAATTAATTCAAAGAAACATAAATATCAAATATTAGTACGTAGATATCAAACTAATTGTAAATGAATATTTTGCTATTTTTATTTCTGCCTCTTCTTTCTAACATTTTTGCCATGAAAAGAAAAATTCTGATTATTTTTACCTGCTGGTCTCAAAGTGTTTCCTGTTAATGAACTTTATGTGAAGAATGTTAGCAAAAATAATCAGTTAAATTAAATTAAAGGATTTTTACTTACCCCAAAAACATAATAGAAAAATATAAAACCATTCTTCAGACAGCAATTATTCTTTTCCATACTTTCTGTCTTACTTTGACTAGACTACAACAGAGCTAAGCTGTTTAAAGAGGACGATAAATGTTCACGTCTGTCTGACTGTGGTTTTCACACCAGCAACCAAAGAAAGCTAAATCTGCTATGAAGAGAGATCGACTGGCTGAAAATTATTTCTGCTGCTGATGAAGTCAGATTATTTCTGAAAGTCATGATGGTAACAAACCCAGTGACCCCATTTAGTGGCAGCTGAAGGGGAAATTCATCAACAAGAGAAAAGCGCCACTCAGCCGCAAACACAGGTGCTCTGAGAAGGCGACAAACAAACACCAACCTGTTCAGAGTTAAACATCACTGACGAAGATGTTTTCATGTTTTTGTTGTCTGGACATAAAACTTTCGTTGGGATTGAAGCAACGTAGTTTTGTCTCCCTTCATTTGATCAAAACTGACTGAATGTTAGGAGTTAATTATTACTATAGATATACTTTTGCATACGTTTCATTTCTTTTTCATTTAATCACTAAAATTAAGGAAAAAAAGTTCAGATTTGAAAAGTTGCCATTTATCAGTCGCCGCTGCCACCTTGTGGCATTTCGATGTAACTGCAGAAAAATCACTGATGTAACTTTCAAGTAAACTCATTTTATTTACAAAGCACACTTCAGAACACAACACACCATCTTTTTTTATATATTAAATTTTAAAACATAGAAACATTTTAAGGTTACGCAGTTTTTCAACACTGGCTTCCATTTATAAAATAATCATCATTAAAAGCAGGAATCCTGATCCTCTTCAGCTCCTGTAGGACCAGATTTCACAAGAAAACAACAACAAAAACAACAGAAATTTCTGCCATTAAATAAAATGAAGCTTTTGTGCAAATTGTTCTAATTAGAACTTTATGTTTTTTAATTTGGCCACAAAAAACTAGACAAAAACTCTATAACATTTGGTGGTTTTGCAGTGCAGTTATCAGAAACGTATGAACTACCCGTTAAGAGTAGATCAAGGGGAATTTTGGTAACCAAATATCTAGAGACTAAATGATTTGAATGAACTCGTCCGGTTCTTCGAAGTAGAAGAGAAATTAAAGGTCCCATAAAGTTTAGTTGGTTTGGAGAGAAGTGAAAGGGAAATTGAACAAAAAATTGAACTTTTTTGAATGCAAATGGGAACGTGAAGCAGAGTGGAGACCGCTCCAAAAGCAGGAAGTGGACGACAGTGCAGGGAATTCTGGGTAAATACACCGAAACAGACATGCTAGCTTAGCGCTAGTGAAAGAAATGTCTCATTGTCTTTTGTAAAAGACTAAAGAAAAATTCTACAACCGTTAAAATCTGACACTACTCCAGTTTTGTTTTCATTTTGTGAAGAAGGAAGTTGAGCGTTGAGGATTTTATGTCGTTTCCTTCAATGGTTCTTGTTGCAGTGCCCCTACAGGCGAGGAGGGGAACAGGTTTTTCAAAGGCTTTGGTTGGTTTGTAAAAGAGAAACAGCAGCTAAAAACTTAACAAATGTTGCAACTTTGGTCCCAAACGCGAACCGAATCAACTGGACTATCAGAGAGACTTCACCCTGTGCTCTCAGTTGTGTGTTTAAACAAATAAATCTGTGAAAAACTAAAATTACAAGCCATGATGGAGGAAACCAAATGACCCATTTCTGGTTCTGAATCAATAACCTCACAGCACTTCCTGTGTTGTTCTCTCTTGCACCAGTGTCCGTTCTGTGTGGCTCAGGGGTCAGAGGTCAGGAGAGGGAAGGTTTGGGTTGGTATTTGACTCTGTTGAAGTCGTCGACCGTCGTCTCGACCGGAGGTTTCTTCCAGCTTTCCTCCAGACCCAGAACCAGGCAAAGAACGATGGCGGTTATCTGCAACACACACACACACACACACACACACACACACACACACACACACACACACACACACACACACACACACACACACACACACAAAAGTGGATATCTAGATGTACAAAAACATCAGACAGAATCCATTTTCACTTTGTGGAATTTTGAATGTAATATTTTCAGCGTTTTGGCTCCATAAGGCGGTGAAAATAATAATAGGAAGAAACCAGAAGCTGCTGGTTTACCGTGATGGTGGCAAAGGCGGAGATTATTCCGATCCGGAGTTTGATGGGGAATCCCAGGTAGCTCTTCAGGATGGGACCACAGGGCTGAGTGACAGAAATATCAGAACAAAGCGGCTCCAGAGGGGACAGAACATCAACAGTCTGAGTAAATGACGCGGCGATACCTCAGAGTGAACCCAGTGTTTGTCTGAAGGATGAGGATTTTTTCCAGGCATCACACAGGATCCCAGTGAGCTGGAGTTACTGGTCTGAGAGCTGAGCAACGGAGAAGAAACAGTGAGTGAGTTAAGAAAATAAAATATGTATCTACGAGACGACATAATGTTATGAGTTTATCATCTTAAAATTCAAAATGTATTCTTCTGGAAATATTCAGATGTCATCCTCTTAGTATTTCCACTTTATTCTAATACAATATTATTGTCTCAGTGTTATATATATATATATATATATATATATATATATATATATATATATATATATATATATATATATATATATATACACACACACACATGTTTTCCATGGTTTGGTCCTAATTGTCTTGAGAGAAACCTTCCTGGTTCTGCACTAAGTGCCTGTTCAGCCTGTAGCCTGCAGGGGGCAGCATTTACTCACATTATAAACTTGTGCTTTGAATTTAACCTTCTAATTAAAACTGTTGATTATTTCTGTCTCTATGAGACCATTAAAAAAGAAAAGCAAAGTAAAACATACATTTCTAACTTCTGCTGCATTTATGTCTCATTTTCTGTTTCACCAAAACTTTCCTGAGTTCCTGGACATTTTACAAAACTTTCTGCTTCCATGCAAACATCATAAAGTCAGGTTGCTGGAAGGTTTTTCCTTTTGCTTCTCTGTTAAACTAAATAAGGTTTCAAATAAAAATGCATTGTACCACTTCAGTTTCAATTTCTATTTTCATGCATCATAATCAGTATTAAAACTATATGAGCAAGAGAAAAAAATACACAAAATGCCATGAACTGCATTTCATTTATATTGTCTAAGGAATAAATTAATTTAAAACTTCCTCCAAAAACTTAAATTTGCCACACAATTTATTGCTGCAGCTGAACTAACCCCGGACCAGCAGGGGGCGTGCATGAGCAAGAGTCAGGAAGGTGATTTCCCCAATCCTCAAAACTTCTCAACCCGCAGCAGGAATCCTGGGAAATAGATATTCACGCAGAGAAATTTATTTTATTGGTAATCACAATCAGAAAAGAAAAGTTGCAGGAGGAATGCTAACGAGCAATTGAATTTCTATAGGTTCGATTCCAGCTTCCCTCTGCCACATGTCGATGTGCCTCTGGGCAAGGCACTTAACCCCAAATTGCCTACCGGTCTGCGTATCGGTGTATGAATTGTGTATATATAAATTCAGAACCATTTACCATTTAAAATAGTTCAAACAGTATTGAAGATAAAAATGAAAAAAAAAAAACATTTAAAAATAGTTTAAAAAATATACATTAAAATTTTAAAACGAAATATTAACTGATTAAAAAATAAAATACTTAAAAAATTATAATAATGAAAAAAATAATTGAAAAATAAAAAAGTAAATTAAATAAAAGTAAAAAATTAAATAAATAAAACAAACTTTAAAAAGAAAAGTTACGGTTAACAATGAGGCTCACTGAGGTCTGGAGTTTCTGCAGCTCCGTCTGGATGAAGATCTCAGCGCTGTGGAGAGGAGTAACGTTCAGGAAAATGTCCTCCACAGCGGCGTTCACCTGCAGAACCAGAACCAGAACCAGAACCAAACACCGGGTCAAAGCGAGAAACCTCAACGCCAGATTAATCTGAACAAAATGATAAGAAACTGCAAAAATCTGCTAAACAAGAACACATATTCAATATGAAACAGATTATTTAGTTAAAATACAGTTTTAAATTAAACGAATGTCATGAACCCTGCAGCCCTGCAGGGGGCAGCAGCACCTCGGCTTCAACGTGAACCAACGGAGAGGCGACGACCATCAGAGCCACAAACTCCACAAAAATCAGGGCAGAAAACTGTAGAAGACCAGATTATTTCATTAAAATAATTATTTACCAGTTTTGATGAAAGAAATGTTAAGAAAATATCATTAAAAACAGCTGGATCTCAAATTTGAGACCAAAATTGAAAAATAACCCAAACAATCTGAAAAAGAACAATTAAAACTATATATTTAAAGTTACCAGCAGCAGCAAAGGTTTGTAGTTTGAAACCGCAGCACTGACGCCCAGAACAGACAGAACCACTGTGATCGGGCCGAACACCTGCAGAGCCAATAATCCGTCGCTGATTGATAACTGATCGAACAACTGGAACAGATGAAAAAAGAAAAACAGTCACTGGCAGAATTAACTATACAGGAAATGTTAGCTTCATAAGAGAGATTTATGTAACCAGTTGACTTTGATGATTTTGGCTTCAGAATATTAAAAATATAAAAGTTAGAAAATTATGATGTAAAACACGTAAAAATAATTTTAAAAACAGAAATGTTCAATCATGGCCCCAATAATAGAGACTCCAAATTAAACGTGTCAGAGATTGGATGTATTAAAGCATATTAATGAAAAGTTGAGTGGAAGGAAAAAAGAAGCAGGGCTTAACACGGAAAAACAAAACACTGAATATCTTGTTTTCAGATCAGCAAGTAATTTTTTCTGATTTTGCCCAGAAAAACATTAAAATAAACAAATTTTAGCTCTAATGTTTTCAAAACAAACCCAGGTGAAAGTCAAAAGCTAAACTTCATTCTTTCATTTGATCAACTGAGGTGAGATTTATATAAAATAGTCAATAAAATTCACAAATATCGCAAAAAAAAAAAAAAAAAAGCCAGGTGGGGTAAGTGTCAGCATGGTTACCTGAGCAACAGGTATGTTTCCTTCAATTGATGAGAATCCAACACCGATCATCACAACACCAGACACCTGCAGAGCCAGAGAGAGGAGTCAGGGCCAAGGGGGCGGAGCCTAAAGGAGCCGGACCCGGACCCGGAGCCCCATCAGCTGGGAGAACTGGAGGCTCAGCGGCTCCCAGCTGATGGCTTATCAAACCGTTTCAGACAGACAAAGAAACTTCCATGTTTCTGTAAACGCCAGAAAAATCTACAGAAGAGGATTAGAACCACCAACCATCATAAAACCATAGAAACAGAAGAAATCCTGAATTTAATTTCAGAATTTTGACTTTTATCCTTTGAGGGGAAAAAATCTGAATTCTGAGAGAGAAAAATTTAAATTTTGAGACAATAGTATAAAATCTGAAAAAAAATTTAGCTCTGAAATTTTGCTATTTAGAATACCGAAATTCTGAATTGAACTTCATACTTTGTTCCATTTGTTGATGCAATTTTTAAACATTTGATGCTTTGATCAGCGACTCAGTACTTGAATACTTCTTATTCTTACTGGAGTAATTTCTTGGACGGCTATAAAAATATGTTGTGATGATATTTTTACACAAGTACAACTTTAGGGACTGACTGAACCCACCTGCAGGGTTTGGTGCACTTTACACAGACATTATTAGAAAGACCTTTATTTTGGAAAGTTGAAGCAACATTTAAAAACATCAACCAGGAAGTCAAAGCTTGGGGACAAAAATGGACACTAACTCCCAGAAGACCATGAAGTTGGTCACAAAGCAGCTGAAGGACATAAAAAGTAATTGGTTTGGCCAACGCCTGGAAAACACAATTCCAGCAAAGTATTGTGAAAAGCTTTCAAAGGAAACCTAAAACACCGAGTTTGGATTTAGAAACATTTCAGCAAATGGAAATAATTTTAAAAGTTGAGTTAGATAAATGTTTCAGCTACATTTGGTTTTAAACATGGATGACTGAATGAGTCCCTGCAGGTTCATTCCTCACTGCTTTGGCAACAACAAACTTAAAATAGATATAAAGACAATAGAGGTAAACACAATGTGATACAAACACCAACAGCTCTTCAAATCCAGTTAGAAACCAAATGAAAACATGAAAAATGAAACAAGGTGGTTATGTTAACCTGAACCTAATCAGAAAATGAGCCTCAGCAGTAAAATCCTAAGCCTGGGAGTGAAAGTCTCATGAGCTTTACAGTCAAGTTGAAAAGGAACATTCAACATAATCACTGCAATCAGCCGATAAGCAGCTCAGCAACAGGAACAGGAAGCAGGAAAAAGTGACTCCAAACGATAGAAATTAAAATAAAAATAACCGCAGAAGCCAATGTAATCGCACACGGTGTTCCAGCCGAGCTTCGATAATATGCTGAGATAAAAGTGAAGAAATGTCGGAAAATATATGAAGTGGAAACAAAAAGGTGAGAATTTTCTGGGAAATGAAAGAAATGAGGAAACAGAACGACGATAAGAGGAAATGAGCAAAAACTAACAGCCAGCTTATTACACCAACATATTCAGACATACCAGCACTTTCACAACCATAACAGTAAAAATATATTAGATTTATCTGAATAAACACAGCTGTAAACATGGATACATTTTTTATTTCATTTTATTTATGTTTTATTTAGAACAGATTTCCAAAATTTCTACTCCAACCAACATGGAGCTGGTAAACTTTGGATCCTCTTGCATGAGATCGGCTGATTTAATGACATCAAAAATGTCAGGTAAAAATAAGACAAAATACAATTAACATGAAGGTTTTACTGTGACACTTAACAGAGTTTTAATTTCTGCAGGAAAAGACTGAAAACATTTTTTAAAAAACACAGTATCGTCTGCAAAACTGGTGATTTTCCTGTTTCTTTATTGATCAAAGTCCTGATATTAAATACATCTGAATTTTTTCTTATCAACTTTTTAAAAACAATTTAAATAGTTTAGCTTTAAATACATATTTGCCAGTTTCTACAAAAACTATTTAGATAGTAGGAGGTCCTAAAATCATTCCCTGAGGAACTCCAGAATTTAACAACCAAGAGAAGCAAGTATTTCATGAGATAAAAAAATCTACTTAAAGAGCTGTTATATAAATAAAAACACCCATAGATGAAGTTAAAAACCAGCAAAAATATAGAAACTATAATACTGTGCATTAGATGTTATTAAATTTGTGAGGGATGAACAAGAAGAGGAATTTGTTCTGTTATGGTAAAGAAAGAATTTAACATGACATATCAATGCAAACTCTTCTTTGTTTTCTACCAATCCACGCATGTACCAGTTTACACCCAAAACTAACACTATACACCAGCTTACACACGTTTCTTCATGGTAAAACATGGTGTTGGCCCCATTATGCTGTGGGGTTTAATGAGGACGCTGGTAAAAGTTGGATGGAGATCAATTCAGGAAAATTCTGGAAGAAAACCTGTTAAATGCTGGGGTGGATGTTGGTCTAGTCGAAGTCTCAACCCTAGTTCAACAATATTCAAAATGTTACTTTTCAATGAAAATTGGTCAAAAACCTTCTGTAAACAATATAATTAACAACTATTTTGTTTTGTCACAAAATCTTAAACTTTGGGGTTGTAACGAGAAAAAATATTACATATTGTAATTAATTTTGAAAGGAACTGTGTGAATATAAAGCAGAATATCAAAAGCCTGACAATATTTTCCTTAAATTTTTCAGTTTTTCGCTTCTACATTGTTTATTCTAATAAAAATGTGGCTCAATTTTATCGCTTCTAAGTTCAATAAAGTAAATTGGTGAAAGCAGATTAAATGTGTTGTTTCATTTCTTCATTTAAAAAAATACACACTTAAATAAACATGAAAATCTGAATTGCAAACATGCATACAAAAAATGACCTAATAATTAATAATGCATTTAAAGCTGTATAAGCTAAAAGGAAAACAATGTAATGTCTACTCTGATGATGAGAAGCGTTTTAGGACGATAATTAGATATTCACCAAAATTAGTTTTTAGATTTTTTTGATTGGTTAATCTGACATTACAGATGAAAACTTTACATGGAGTGGTTAGCCGTTAGCATGTAGCTTACCAGCAGCAGCACGGTCACACAGATGGAGAGTCCTCTTAAGTAACTCCAGCAGCGAGCCATGATGACGGCCGTCTGAGAGCCGAGCTGAGCGGAAAGAGCAAAGGGCCGAGTGTGTGTGGAAAAGAGAGAGAGCGACTGTGTGTGTGTGTGTGTGTGTGTGTGTGTGTGTGTGTGTGTGTGTGGTGTGTGTGTGTGTGTGTGTGTGTGTGTGGGTGTGTGTGTGTGTGTGTGTGTGTGTGTGTGTTGTTTAAAGCTCAGGAGTGTTTGGCTGCAGAAAGAACATGACCAAGTTTGGAATACCAGCTGAGCGGAGGAAAGAAAGAAGGAGGTTAATTAACAGAAGTGATTAAAGATGGTGGCTCTAAATGACGACAATAGATCTGATTATCTTAAACATATCAACAACAGCTGGACTCCTGAAAAATCTGAAACTGCAGCAGGATCATTATCACCAGTCATGATGCTAATCTTGCTGTTGTTCTCACCAATTAGCCGCTTTCCTGCTATTGTGTTTGTGTCCGAAACACAAAACATTAAAGCTGCAGGATGTGACCTTTACAAAAATATGTTTATGTATTTATTTACCGTCGCCATGTAGTGAGTCAGATAATCCGGGAAAAGAAAAACCGAGCTCCTCCTACTATTTCTGTCTGAAGACATGCACCAAAAATAGCCAAACCGAGTCAGGAGGCGGGGCTTAGTGCTGTCAATCAACCTCATTTGCTCACTGCCAAATGTGCCGAGAAACAACTAACCTTTAGAGGACACCTGTGTTGTGGAGTTTCTGGTCACGGCTATAGCTAGCACATCTCGCAGTCAAGACTAAGAGTGATATGCTAAAGTTCAGAATTCTAATATTTATAAATTTCAGCCATTGTTTTTGTCCAGATTTATTGCATTCATCTTCTTCTGGTGCAGAATTACAACGCATGTTTCACATCAGTGGCGTAAAAGTCGCATAAAATGCAATGGATCTGATTTAGTTCCACAAATGGACGAAACGCTAATCTGTGTTTTTGGAGTGAAGAAATGTGTGATGTGGGCAGAACGTAACTATGCTGATGATGCTGCGTTTTCAGACCATCTGCTCGCTGTTTTCGCCCAATCCTTGGTGTATAAAGAGCTGACGGCACAACTTCCCTCTGCCTGCCAAAAAGCTTTGGATTCAGTTGCTCCATTGAAAATCAGACATCCAGAACCCAGATTAAACCGCCACACAATCTAAATCTGCCTCCAACATCAAACTCCCCAAGCCCTCCATTTTCTTTTTCACACGCTGAACTTTTAATCTTAGTTAGTTTTGAAACGTTTTTGAGGAACGTCGTCTATTCTGGACAAGGTATTCAGCTCTAAAGCCTAGATTTCTCCATCTCGTGACGGTCCAAACACCTTAAGCCCTGACATTTTGCCGGTTTATCCGGGAATCAAGCATGGATGGATTTTTGCGTTAAGCTAATCTGACACATTCAACGATCCGGCTCCTGGTTTTCCAGGTAATGGTTCCCATCTCCTCGGTTTAAGTGTGTCTGAGAGAAAAACCAGACGTCCCCTTTACTCCAGAGGTTGCGCAGGTTGCTATAAATAAAATACAGCAGTGGGGTCTGTCTGCAGAAACAAAACCCTTGTTTGGAAGGACCTGACACCCATTTTTATGGTTTTATGACAAAGAATAGCAGCGATCCAAATCGAAGGAGGGCAATTCAACAACCCCACGCCTAGCTAATGTTGAAAGCTGAAAACTCTGCTAGTGGTGCAGTTTTGTTTAACTTTATGACCAAATACACCAATAATCAGTTTGTTTTTAGGGTGAATAATGTAGCAAAGCAGCAGAGAGGAATCCTGCGGTCATTAAGAGCCGAGCTGTGTTGACTTTAGACTAAAAATAACCAGAGGGGGAGAGGCTGACTGCGTGTTGCAGACATTAATGTTGCTGCTTGTTTCCAAAGCTCTCTCTCTCACACACACACACACACACACACACACACACACACACACACACACACACACACACACACACACACACACACACACACACACACACACGTCAGCTGTTCCAAATGGTAAAGCAAAGCGCGTCCATCCATCGTGTGAGATGTAAACACCATCACAGCTGCTCCACTTCAGGTCCAGCCTGCGAATGTCAGCACCAGCAGCGTCCTGACCGTTTGACGTTTTAAAGCAAAACACAAACTGTGACTGAGAATGTTTAAAATGAAACGCTCAAATAAACACTACAGGAAAAAACTATTTCAGCCACTAGGGGGAGACAAACTACGACAAAGTATTGCATCCACGCTAAAAACTAAAGAAAAGAACAATTGCAAGAATAAAATTATAGTGTTATTAGAATAAAGTTTAAATAATACGATCAGTTGTGTACCTAGGACTTAATTCTCAGAATAATACATAGGCTACTGAGAAACTTTTTATGAAAGATTAAGTCATACAAGAATAATATGACTGTTATTATAATATTGACCTTTTTCACATCTTACGAATTTATTCCTGTGATATTTCAACTTTATGAGGAGTCATAAGAAAAAACTCGTAATATTACCAGAAATAGTATGAAAATAAAGTTGAAATAATACAGAAATAAAATGTTTATTCTTGGAATATTGACTCCCATATTACGACTTTATTCTGGTAATATTTCAACTTCATGAGAAGTCAAACAAGAATAAAGTTTATTATGAGGAGTTGCTTCATTTGTACATTTTATACTAAAATGAGCTTAAAAAGTAACCAGAATAAAGCCCAAAATTACAAGAAGAGAAGATTTTTAAAAACTGGATAACAAGAAGTCAGAGGAGAATAAAGTTGAAATAAGGCAAAAAAGTCATGATGACTAATTTTATGTCTCTTAAATGAAAATGAGATTGAATCAAGTTGTGCAGGCTGATGACAATATTTAACCAAATCTAGCAAAAATATTAAAAAGTAAATGAATGAAAGATCAACTGTACACAACATGTGGAAGCCTTTAAAGTCTAAACATAACTTTATCATTATTTTTAATAAAGTTCTAAAAATTGGGGATTTCACAATAAAAGCTCTGTTTTTGAGTTTAGATCATTCTTTGGTGCACAGCAACCTGAAATGAAAGAAAACGAATGAAGCCAAGCCACAGAAGTTTATTTATAAGGAATAAAATCCTTATAAAGTCATGTTAAAGTTCTCCAAATTCTCAAATGTGTCCTTCAGACTTTGTGGCTTCAGTCTGGAAATTAATCCAGTCTCGGCTCCATTTTCTGATGAGCTGAACAGATAAATATGTTGCTTTTAAAACTCAGAAAAAGGAGAATATTCCATAAATAAATGGGCTACTTTTTTCTTCAGGCATTTAGGAGCGCCGTGCTTTACTAGCGCTCCCCCTGCTGGTCACATTTTGTCACTACATCTACTGAAACAAACATTTTATATCCATACAGAAAAAAAAAATACTAGTAGCTTATAATGAACTCATTGCATTACAATGCACACAGCTTATCAAATATCAGCAGAGGTATAATGCAAATACTGGCTCTGCTTGTATTAAGTTAAACTCATACACGCTTATATTCAGATGAATATTCGGAGTTCTGGGAGGAAAACTAGTGGATTTCTGAAATTTAGGCTTTTAATTGTTCAAGAGAATAGACTCAAAAAAATATATATAAACCCCAAATTTAAGTGACTAATTTCACCTCCCTATAAATAACACTTAAAATCTTTCCTTTACTTTGATGTGACTTATTTAATAACAAAAACGTTTTTGCAATTTATACTCAATTCTTATGTTGCGCCAAGTATCTAAGAAATTTTAAATTATTTAAGATAAAATTTTTCTGGGGTTCAAAAATAATGTGACACACAGGCACATTTCTCCTCTAATGAGGACATAATGTCAGTTTTTCTTCACTGACAGCAAAAGAATAAAATACAAAAACTGGTAAAAATCAACAAATGTAATGTGTAAATTTCTGTATAAAAAAAAATCCATTTGAATCAACAAAAGACAGAAAACTAAAGTATAAAAATATATGGACAATGGAATTAACATTTTAAAGCCTCCATTAATTGTACTAATAATAACTACTATATTTTAATATCTAGTAAATTTATTTAAGAAAATGCAACAGACCCCAACATGAAAACCAATTTGGCACTCTTCACCCTCCATACAAATTTGTGTAACTGTGGAGTTGAATTGGGGCCATAATGTTTGAATTGAAAAAAAAAAAATAAGAAATTATTTTGAAACCGAAAAAAAAAAAGTTTTGAAATGTTAAATTATTTCAGATTTTTCTTTTCAGTTTCGAAATAATTTCCGTTTGAATTATTTTTTTTTTAGCCATTTCAAATGTTTTATTTTTTAAACAAATGTCCTTATTTCAATTCCTCGTAATCCAAAATTGTGAATAAAATCTCCGTGTTTTTTATGACAGTTGTTAGCCGTTAGCTTACCGGCAGCATGACGTCACAGAGTCCTCCTTGTCCAGCAGCGCCATGACGGACCAAACACTTCCGGTCAGTCGTTTGGATCCCTGTGGATGTTTTTCTTCTGGGATTTAGCAAAGATACCCGAGAAGTGACTGCAAACGGATGTTAGCTTCGGCTAATCGGACACAATGATCCTATCCTGGTTTCCAAGGTGACTGCTTCCATTTTGTGGTTCTTCACGAGGTGCAGAAACAGACTTCCGGTTTACTGCAGATGTACTTCCGGTTGCTACAAACATGGGGGGTCTGTTTCAATTACTAAGATCTTAATTTGAGAGGCTCTGACGAGAAGCAGCTCAATGCAAAGAAACAAGAAATAAAAAGAGGAAAAATCTTTAAGTACCGAGTCAATAAGCACCAAGTCTGATTTAGCTTTTAAAACAATTGGGCAATTTTAAAGCCAGGTATAAAATAAAAAAAAGTTAAACAAAAACTGTATAAAGAATGTAAAACCAAAAAGACATTAAAGGCTCATTCTAAAACATTTAGTTCTGTAAAATTAAAAAAATCTGGACTACACATTCTGAAAGTTACATTTAATTTATGACACTACACGGCTGATGTCAAATGAAAAATTTCAATCAACTCACCTGTATTTAATAAGCTGAAGTCAATTCCTGTCAAGAAATAATTCCAATAGAGAAAAAGCATTTCAGTTTCAACATCTCTCTGTTTCACCCAATTCTACAGTTTCTCAATTACATCTCAATGACCAATACAACCCAAATCAAACGCATCCAGTCTGGCTTTATTTGTATGTATCTTTATTTATCTTCAATAGAAAACAGACATTTTATGTTACATAGCTGGATGGATAAAATCATTCAATCAAAAACAAGCCAGTGTAGATTTTAAAGTACAGACCTGTACAAGTTCCTGAGAAATAATATACGGAAGCCTTGTACTGCCCAGTAAAAAAAAAAAAAAAAGTTAAAATGCAATAAAAATTTAACCAGCTGAGGATGAGGGGTTTTGATAAAAAAAATACAAAGAAAAAAAGTTTGAAATCCAATTAACTTTGGTTTTGCTTCAGTGTTAGCAATAAAAAAAAGTTGAGGCAGCTATTTAAATAAAAACTGTTCTATACTTTTGAAAAATTTCACATAAGAGATTATTCTCACCAAAAAACAAACAAAAAAAAAAAAAAAAAAACAGATTTGAGCAGAACAAACAACCATTTACTTATTTATTTATTTATTTAAATTATCTTTCCTGCCCCATTAACGTCTCACAATATGTATACTGGCAGATATAGTAACATGCTCCTTCACAATAAAAGCTTAGAATAAACTGCATTAGTTGTGTTGTGGGAGTTATGAGGAAAGTGCAGCTGATTGGCGGCGACTCAGGCGGTGTCGGCTGCATTTTTCCTCCCAATCTGACAGAAGAGCATCATGGAGAAGGCCATGCCGAAGACCTGAAGAGAAAACGTAATTTAACTAACAGAAATACTTAAATAGACGAGCTAGAGATGTTTTTTAGGCCTGTAGGCATCCAGAAGCATAAAAAAAATTATAATAATCTTATTTTCGTATCAATCCGATTCCACTCCCCAAGAGTCGTTGGACAGAAGGAGGCCAACACACGGATTTAGGGAACATAATAGCAAACTAAACAAAAATGTGAAAATTCACATTGAAACATAAATATAGAACCCTGAGGATCTTAATAATAAAAATGTCTTTGCAATTTATACTCAATTCTTAAGTTGCGCCGAGTATCTAAGAAATTTTAAATAATTTAAGATAAAATTTTTCTGGGGTTCAAAAATAATGTGACACACAGGCACATTTCTCCTCTAATGAGGACATAATGTCAGTTTTTCTTCACTGACAGCAAAAGAATAAAATACAAAAACTGGTAAAAGAGAGATTTGCTTTCAGAGCCTTTCTGGCTTCCAGCAGAGTTTGAGACACTAACCACTGTTTTAGTAATTAATTGATTAATAAAAAAATTACATACTATAGATTTATCATTAAACCACACGAACCTTTAAAATGTGCAAATGAGCAATTCAGGTCTTTTGTTCAATAAGAAAAACATTTTGTTGGATTAAATACATCAGCAGATAAACTGAAGGAGTTCTGAGGAGAACATTTTATCTTTAATTCAAAATGAATAAATATTTTTTACAGTTTTGGCTTAATTACTGTTCTGAATGTTTTTTTTTAAGCCAATAAACTATTTTAAACAGCTTATCAGCAAAAAACTATGTAAAATTTTATTTTCAATTTAAAATATCAGGACGAAACGCTGATATTGTCAGCATAAGACTTAGAGCCCCTGACAAAAATAATCTGACTAATCTCAGAATTTTGAGATCAAATCCAAGAAAATCTCAGAATTCTGTCTAAAAATAATAATAATATTTTTAACTAACATAGAAATAATAACATAGGATAAATAATAATTTATTATTTAATAATTATAAATAATAATAATTTTGAAAGCAAAAATAATTTTGCTTTCAAAATTTAGACCAAATTCTGAGAGATCACCTGATTCTGTCTAGTTGACCAAGTGAGGCAGTACCAAGCATCACCAGCAGGTGGTGTGAATAACTGCTGTTAGATATTTAGGGTTTAAGTGAGATTAAGAGTCTGACATCTTCAGAGCTCAGTGTGTGCATCTTTACCAGAATGGCGGCGACTGCGAAAGCGATTCCCAACGCCACCACCATATTGTCCTTCATGTAGCTGATGAGTTTGTCGTAGCAGGGCTGCAGGACGAGGCACATTCGTCACAACACGAGCTGAGAAAGCTCTTAAAATTAAACTGTTTTTAAAGATTAGTGCATCGATTCTTCACATCTCGTCATCTTACGTCCTTATAGACTCCACCGTTGCACACTTCAGCTGGAGCAGTGGCGTTGCACTTGCAGGAATCTGGGACTTTTGTCCAGTCTGATGGTCCCTTCATGAGTCCACAACACATGAGCTGCAAACAAAGAAAGCAAGAATTAGTTTAACATTTAACTTAGTGACGCAGCCATCGCCACATGGAAGCAGCTGATAAACTCAGGCGAGTCAAAGTGAGAAAGAGCCAAATATAATCCTCTTATTAAAGAAAAACAGTTTTTAGTCAGCTGGTGAAGAGACTAGTGGTGACGCAACAGCCTGTTTTAAAGAAATAAGCCATGAATGTTAAAGTGAGATAAAACTTTGGTCTTTTAGACATCCAATTTATAAAGTTAGTTGCATCAATACCTCACGCTGCAGTTTCTCCATGTCGGCAATCACGTCCGGCTCCTGGCTTGAAATTGGGGTGAATTTTTCCAGTTTCTCCTTCAACCAGTCCTTCACCTGCACAGAAACAGAGTTCAGTCCTCCAAACTCCCAAAATAAGATGATGAAGGATCAGGAGACGATGGATCTTACTTTGCCCTCCCCGACTGCTGCCACGATGCCAGCTGTCAGCAGCAGGACGAAGATGAGGAGCAGGAAGATGAAGAACTGGAACAAAATGGATGCAGTTCATTTCTTCATCAGGATCCAAAATGTCCATTAGTGTTTCGACAGTCTCAGCACATCATCCGATGCACCGCTTTCATAATGAAATTAAAACTGGAGTAGTAGTTTCACATTTCAATGTGCAAACAGCAGGCAGGTTTAACAGGTGGCGCCGATTGAGGGATTACTGCCAGTCCCAATTTGGCATAAAATCCATTTTCTTTAGTTAAATACTCATGAACTTCTATGCGCCACAAATCCAGAACAACATCCATAAAACTGCAGAAAAACAGAGTTCCTTTAAGTGGAAGCAAAAACTCTCCTGATTTTTATTATAAATGTTCCAGTAACTGGGACATTTGTCAACATTTGATACTCGCTTGATGGTATTTAACAAAATGTATGTTTATCACTCATTTCATAACTGGTGAATGTTTTTATGATGATTCCTTATCAGTAAAAATGTTTTTACCCCAGTTACATCAAAATATGCAAAACTTCCTGAGGTTTGAAGGTTGACTGTCGTGTCAGATATTTAGTATTCTTGGTCCACCTACATTTCAGGTAAGTACTTTGTTTTTCCTTTCTTGCAACTCAACTCAATTGACTACAACTCCCAATTAAAAAAAAAAAGTTGCTGTTCTCTAGAAATTTGTTGGTCTGGTGATGTTTTGACAAGATCTAATGAGGCAAAAAAGTCTCAGATCAGTTATTGACCTGCAGTTTCCTCCAAATCAACCCGTCGTTGCATGAAGTCGACGTTAAAAGATTCTTACCACCAGCAGCATGCAGCGGCTCTCTTTGTAGGCGCCGCAGCAGCCCAGGAAGCCGATCACCATGATGATCACCCCAATGGCGATCATGAGGTCGAAACTCGGAAGATATTGATCTGTAATCTGGAAAGCAGGAGGTGGGAATTAATCGGACATGGAGATTTGATCCAGCAGCTTCAGAACTGGTCGAGTCATGTAGAATAATAAAGACTCAGTTGAATGAAAATGACTTGTAATGTTTATTTCCCCCAGAGATGAACATGATGCATTGATTCTCAATATAAACGGGGTCTCACCTTGTTTCCACCTTTGGTGACCTTCAGGTAAATCCCAACTCCAAGGATGACGCAGCCACAGACCTGCAGAGGACAGGGATGCAAATCAAACGTGTCATTTGATCATTTTAACCAGGAAAGATGGCGACGATAATCATAATGACCAGCAGCTCTCAGTGTGATCACAGCTTTACAGCAAACACGTTTTACAAAAATATTAACTTTGATAAACATTAGAAGTAGGTATAATTAGAAAGATATTAAATATTACATTAAGGCGAAGGTAAGAGTCTAACTATTGGTAACCAGTGCTACACCGTCATGTAGCCTAGCAGGTATGAAAAAAACTGGTTAGCATCTGGTCTTTAGTACGTCGTTAATGCTGCTCTGGTGTAAGGGGAAAAGCAGTTTATTTCACAATTATAAAAATCCTGTGGTGTGAATTTAGTCAAAGTTTGTAATTTGATCAACAAATCAAATTGCAGGTCGTTTTCTGAGCTAGCCCTTTCAAACTTTAGTAAAAGCCATTAATAAACTGGCAAAAACAACTTTGGAAAATTTCCGTTGCACCATTTACTGCCAACGTCCATCATGGCGTCTTGAATGATTCAGTGACGAAGTTGCAAAGGGTCAATAGGTGGAACATCAGATCAGTCACCGACCCAAAACATGAACAAACTACCAACGTTCAGCTGGGAAACGAGATGCAAAACAAATGAGATTCATCGTTAAGACAAAAACGTCTACTCAAAGTCTGGCAGTTAAATGCTTCCATACATCTGGAATGTCAATCAGGTGAAACGTTAAGAACTTCCTGTGCCAACAATTATGCAAACTGCTGTTAGCAACTCAAGCTAATGCACTTCACATTATGTTCCAGTCAGATTCTCAGAGGTTGTACAGATCAATGTGCGAAACATTTGATTTTTTTCCTGCACTAGCAAAGTTTTATTTGGAAGGCAGCCATGTTGAAATTTGAATCCTTTAGCTATGAATAAAGAAATTAAGCCAATGGGTTATTTGTTGGGTCGGACCCCGAATGAAACTCGACCCGTTTGAAATCCAAACCTCTGGGGTCACAGAGCGTTTCAGTGGGTGTGACGCCAACATGCATTATTCAGCTCTCACACCATAAACATGGTGCTGCGAGTGATTTTACATCATAAATATTTAATCTGAAGACGAGTGGGGAAAAACAGACCGGGCAGCCAGTCTGACTGATGAAGACGCCTGGAAAAACAGAAAAAACCCCTTTAGCCCACCAGTTACTGCAGGCAGCGGGTCTTAAAATGGTAAAAATAAGATTCTTATACATTTGTAATAACTCAATTTTCTCTTCATTATAATAAATCCTTGAAAGTGTTATTTTTAAAAGGTTATTGTTAATTTATAAATAGTTCAAACCTCTGAATAGATGAACAGAAATAGGAAGACATGAACCATTATTAGCTTTAAAAACAGCAGCGCCTCACCCAAGCCTTCCCACACTCTGCGGCGTACAATTAACCAGTAGATCCAGTACAACCATCACAAACTGCTGGCCAAATACAGTAAAAAAATAATCTATTAGAAGTGGAACCGAACTCTATGACAAAATTCAATGATGAAGTACTAAAAGTACAATGAGCTGTTAAAACTTTATTCTCATCAGAATTAAAAGGGTTTTAATGAACATTTCCAATTTTACATATAAACATTTTGACTTAAATCCCACAAAAACCTCCCTATTTATTTGAAACATTCGTTATGCAGACGACACTGTGTTGTACCTTGCAGAATAAAAAAACAATATGGAGAAAATCACTGCATTTTTAAAATAAATTAAATACTTTAGTATTTAAAAGTAAAAATGCATTTATATCATTACATTAAAATTAGTTTTGTTCAGTTTTTGCTAGTCTTCAGGCCATCCATGCAGAACGCAAAGAAAAACTTTTACTGAATAAAATTGCAACAACATTAGATAAAGCAGCAGCAGGGTGCCTCTTTATCTTCATTTAAAAACAAAAACAACATTTCTTTGTTGAAGATAAAGAAAAATTTTTTCTGCTTTATAGCAGGAAATCCCTGCAGATAAAAAGCCCAATTCAGCAAACCGGTTCTGAAGGTGAAATGTCATCCAAGGAGGATTTTCCATCAGTTACAGTTGAGTCATTAATCCTGCATTGTAATCCAGTTAACAGATAAAAGAAGCAAAAAAAAAACATTTAAGAACAATTAAAAACATTCATCTGAATTTCCCCCAGTAATTTTTCATTTTTTTTGAAGTGGGAAAAACTAAATGCTGAGTTTTAGTAGTGGATGAACCAGATCAGTTTTTTTCCAACAGGAGGAGCTGCTGGTCGACAGCAGAGAGAAAAACCTGTTTGTGGAAACATGCAGATCCCAGTTCATCAGCAAACACCAGAATCTGTAAAAGGATGTTTTGTTTCAGCTGAAGCTTTTTTACTGGACAGAAGAAGCAAAGCAGCAGATGTTTACTCTGCATGTTCACGTCTTTGTTTCAGAGATCTTTCTAGAAAACTCGGCCGGATTACCGTGACGCAAACACAGAAACGACCAAACGACATAGCAACCTCTCTGAGTCACAACACTAACACAGGAAAAACAAAATGTCTCCAGAGAAATTCTACTAAATTAGGCTATTTATAAAACATGAATGTTCCACTCGAATTAAGAAATGTTGCAATTAATCCAGATTAGCAGTGTAAAAGTCAAATTTTGCCCATAAACAAACCCAAAATATTTCCGATATGAAGCTTCAGGAGTAAATCTGGATTAAGTGTATTTAGAGCATAATCTGAATGGATTTGTTTGCTGCCCAGGATAATATCTGGATTATTAGTTCACCACTAAGAACATAATTCAGTACCAAAAGACAAGAATTACCTGGATTACACTTGGGACACAAAACAATGAATGTTTCAAATCCCAGATTCAGTAAAACAGCAAATTAAGATCCAGAATCCAGTGAAAGATTATCACAATCATTTATTAAAATTCTAAATCAACTGGTGGCCCTGTCATGACATGAGCATTAGATTACATCTTAAACTAATCCATATTATGATCTACAAATCTTTTAAACATGAATTCTACTTTCAGATGAAAAGACCAGATTAAATCTCAAGGAAAACATCCTGAGAATCTGGATTATTTTCTGATTAAAGTGGATTCCTAGTTGTGTTTTGGTTTTATGTTCTCTTGTTTCAGGCTCCTTTCTCCTCTGGATCTTTTCATCCCTTAATCTCATCTGAAATAGAAGCGCTCATTCATAACCCGGCGTTTCGCTGCGTGGGCGTCTTCGTCCCTCCGCAGTGACTCACAGGCTGTCGCCTTTCACAACACATTTCTGATCATGTTAAGTCACGTTCTCGTGATCGTTCCGCCGAATCTGGATCCATGTCAGTTTCACAAGTCAAACCCAAAAACTGTTGGAGAAATCTGAGCCTTTGCCCCACAGGTTGGTCAAGATATTCAGTTTCCTGAAGGTTTTTCACAAATTAAACAAGAAAATGGTGAAATATAAGGATCAAATTAAGACCACAATAAAGTCTCAGCAAATCTGCCAAAAAAGAAAATTAAGGTTTAAACTAAATCAGGAAAAGCTGCAAAAAAGTCCAGTTTATTGAGCAAATATCTGTTATTTAAAAGGAAATCTTATTTTTTTCACAAGAAATATGTTGGAATAAATGGAAAAGTGTCAGTGGAAGTAATATTTTAATTGTTCATACATAAGAACCTAGTTAATATTTTTAGTCTTTATACTTAAAAATTATAGCATTTAATCCACCGTGTTATTTTGGATTTAACATTTCTTAGAAGCTCTTTACTTCTGCAAAACATTTTATTGTTATATTAAAAACCTGGAGGGAAAAAAAAAATCTAACTTGATAAATTAGACCAAATTGCATCTCTAATATACATTTTTCCCTTTATATTCAAATATTTATTCATATTTGAAGTCATTTTTAATCCATTAATGCGAGTTTATCACATTTACATTAAAATGGATGATATTCTGGTAAACTTTCAGATTTGAATCTTTAGAAAACTGATTTACTGGGAAATGAGGGAGTTTTCTATTCATAGGAATATTAAAATGTTTAAAACATTCAGGTCATCAGAAGTCACTCAGCTTGACAGCTGCTGTATTTTAATTTTCTTCTAAGATTGAATCATGTGTAGAAATAAAATCTCATGTTTGTTGAAGGCGACGTGAAGCCGAAGTGGAAACTTTGCAGAGTTTTCAGGCTCTCAGCTGTTTGCAATAAAGAGGTTTTTGTTTGTTTCTTCTCCTGACTGCAGATCAAAATCATTTCAGTTTCATTGCTGTAAAACGTCGACGCAGGAAAAAAAAAACGTGTCTCCCGTCTGATTCCAAATGTTTTTATGTTCAGGACGGCAAAACGGCTGAACTGGATCAGAACAGAACCGGGATTTCTGATCAACTCAGAGGAGAAAAACAGACGCGGATCCAGTTCAGCCAGATTAAATCAAACTGGTTTCAGAGTAAATAAAGGAACCGCCTCAACATTTCCATCATCGTGTGAAACCATGACGTCCAACATGGCCGAATGGCTCCAGATCCAGTTAGCATCGATCTGGAGGCGTTTCAGGAGAACCGACAGAAATAACCAGAGATAAAAGCTGCAGCGACAAAATGAGTTCAATATCAGAACCGACAACAAACATAAGAGATTTCAAGAATTAATGTTTAAAATTTTAAATGTTTAAATTGTAAACCATTTTTTTAAAAAAAGTGTTAAAACTCAAGCATCTTTTCACTTAAAAAAAACACAAATACACACACACACACACACACACACACACACACACACACACACACACACACACACACACACACACACACATCTATACATTATTTATGATCTTGTGTACAATAAAAGTTTCCACCTAGACTTTATGTTCTTTGCATTGGCAGAAATGTGATTATATTTCATTATTCTTGTATTAGTTTCATGTTAGTTGTTCAAGTTAAAATGAACAGCAGAAGCAAATCCGACAAAATATCTAAAATAACAAAAACAGGAAACAGGAAGTTAAATTAGAAGATTGAAGAAAATAAGAGAAAATGTTGGTGATCAAAAGCCACAAAAGTTGCATTAACTGGTGAAAAATGCAAGTGCAACATTTGCAAACCAAAGTAAATTTGCTTCAATAGTTACGATCAAAACTTTCTTCCTGAGGTCAAAGGTCAGAGCAATAAAACTGGACTTGTGCTTTATTTTTATGCATAAAAATATTTCTTTTTGTGTCTAAACTTTAGTTCCAAATATATTTAGTAACAAGTTGATCATGAGTCATTTGAATAAATTTGACTTTAATTTCACTGTTTGTTCTGTTGCAGCGACTCAAACTGGAGCAAAGTGAAGTCAAAACCAGTTTGAACATCTAGAGATGTTAAAACTTAAAACGTTTTGTCCACCGGAAGCAGCCAGACGCGCCTGCCAGGGTGTAAACTTCATGACAAAATCTGCCGGAGGGCGACAGCGAAGAGGAAGCTTCTGCAGAACCAGTTCAACCAGTTTAGAACTGGTTGCAATTCACCTTTACCCCCTGAGCACCAAAACTGAACCACCACGCCCAGTTTACGAGCTTCAACTGAAACAGGCTGAAGACTCAAAATAAAAGGCTAAAATTTTCACTTTTTAACAAACGTCAAGTCTTTTTGAACGAGTTGTTTCATTTCTATCATTTAATTGTCAAGAAATGTGAAGTTTAAATCAAATTCAGAAGGAAATCCAAACATCTGCACTGCAAATCTTAGCTCTGTTTTAGAGTGAATATCTCGGCACATTCAAAATAAGATAAAAGTAACTTTCCAGAAAGCTAAATACAACATTTTGATTTAAAACAAGCTCCTGTCTTGTTGAAATGTTACTTGTAATTCTGTCTGGTTCTTTTCACTTTTCCAACACGTTTGCTCAAGAAACTGGACCAAACACATCTGGTAAAGTTGTGGATTTGAAGCGTCGCTTTCAGGTCTGGTTTGCCACATTCGTTCTTAAGTAAAGGTAATTTCATTTCAACAACACATTTTCAGCAACAAGGCAATAGAAAGTGATGATGTTTTGTGCAGCTATTAGAAGGAAACAAGCATTTAAAAAGTGCATCTCTGCATGGAGGAGGGAGAAATGAAACATTCCAGGAAGTGGTTAAGTAGCATGAGACCGTGTTCTGCTGAGCATCAGCTCATTTAGTGGCAGAACCTCCTGCCTGGTCCATTAGTGTCCAGATGGAAGGAAATGCAGCTGAATCAGAGAGACGAATTGGTTCTGCAGAAATAGGAACCACCCGAAATGGACTCCGGTGTTTGTGAGAGAACCTGGTCACACCCTGAAACTCGGCTGGTTGTGTTTGAGGGCGAGGCCAAAAATAAATAGATAAGACCCGTTCTATAAAAGTTAATATATAAAAAAATGACAAGTGATCAGGATGAGAACAGAAAGACAGATTAAATACCAAACACCACCTCAGAGCAGAAAACTAAAACAGAGAACCTGACTTTAAACTAACAGATGATTTTTATGGGTCAGACTCACCCAAAACAGCAGGTTGAAGAGGAAGAGCAGATTCTTGACACACTTATTAACCGCCATGGTTTCTCTCCGAGGATCCTGACAGCAGCAGATATCAGAGCAGAGCTGGTGTCACCTGGATGCTCTTTCCCCCCCTGGATTTTCTACCGTCCCCTTCTGGCTCCTCCCCCTACTGGCTCCTCCCCCTACAATATTTTCACCAGAAGCTGGACAGTAACACAAAAATCTGATCTTATAATCAGTGAAATTGAACAGCAGAAACCTCAGAAAGATGCTTTAAAGACAGAAAAACCTCCCAGTTTGTTAAACGGCCGGATCGGTGTGAAAGGAGTTTATTTCTCAGTTTGTCTGATGGTCTCACTGAGCCTGCAGTGAAAACATGAAACATTCCTCTGACATGTGTGAGGAAGGATCGGAGAGCAGAGGCTGCAGACGGTGGGAAAAATGTTTCTATTTTTGGCAGTTCCAGCTCATCTGCATGTCGCAGCATGTTATATGAAGACAATTTAGCAACTGATACATGCACAAGAGTAGAGAGTTTTCCTTCCTCTTCTGCATTTATGCACAATCTGTGTCATTTTGGTAATTAATTAAACTTTGTTGTGGATCAGATTAAGTTGTTTTCATGTGGGAATTAAAGTTTGTCTTCCTGTCAGATTATGTCCTCCACAATAAAAGCAGAGAAAAAATATCAGTAATGACGTCAGAGAAGAAACTATCAATCCGTGAAGTTCTGATTCCCAGACACTAAAAACAAATGAGTTTTTTAAAGAAAGTCATGACTTTGATTACTGAGTTTGATCTCGTTATAGATGCTGAACTGATTCCTTAGTTTGAACAGATTCACTATTTTGAAAATATTCATTATTTGGGATCAATAAATTGTTTCTAAATTTGAATTTTAAACAGATTCAGAAGTTTAATCCAGTTCTAGACTCTGAACTGAATCCAAAATTTATATTTGAACAAATTCCAAGATGCTAATCTGATTCCTTATTTTGAACTATTCCCAAATCTGAACATATTAATTTAATTGATAAATTTTGAACACATTTCTTATTTTCAACATATGAAATGGACACAAAATTATTGAGAACCACTGTGGAGCCGAAACTTTTACTGAAGTAAAAGTGTTGACATTATGAATGTTTTTGTGCTCTCATTTGTTGTTATTTTTTTCCTCATTATTGAATTATTGTGTGTCACATCACGTGACCGTCTAATTGAACACACTCTGTACAATAAAAGGGTGTGTCCTCCAAACAAAGGGAGCACAACACTAAAGCCAAAACGGTGCGAGTTTCTTGATGTCACGTTGATCGCTGTGCCGAAAACTGATTCTGCTAACAGGTTATGGGCCCAGAATCAATGAAGAAACGGGTGAATGCCTCGACAGACCGTGAACACCTGCTGTGTAAGTAAACAAGGAAAATGAACAGAAGAGAAAAAGACATGGCACACAGCCGCTGGTCAAGACTTCTTTCTTTTTGATGGAGATGAGAAAAATTATGAACTATGGGAAACAAAGTTTTTAGGACATCTTCGACTGCAAGGGTTGAAACAGACAATTTTGACAAGTCCCTCCGATGATGACGATGAAAAGGAAGACTCGAAGAAAAATGCTGAAGCTTATGCCGAGCTCATTCAGTTTTTGGATGACAAGAGTCTATCACTTATCATGCATGACGCGGCAGACGACGGACGTGCGGCACTTGGAATCCTGCGGGCCCATTACGCCGGTAAAGGAAAGCCCAGAGTGATTAACTTGTACACTGAACTGACTTCACTGTAGAAATCACCCAGTGAATCGGTTACGGAGTACATCATCAGAGCTGAGACCGCGATCACCGCTTTAAGGAATGCAGGTGAGGAGCTGAGCGATGGACTTCCAGGGACATTGAAGCAATTTGCTGTTTATATCACGCAAAGCGAAGATGGTGATAAATTGATTTTTGCAGAGTTTAGGACTAAACTCAGAAGTTTTGAAGACATTGAGATTATGCGTGCTACAGTATCTGAGGACAATGTGATGAAAGCTAAAGCACATTCTGGCACGAAATGCACACCAAGAGGCGCAAATGAACCTGGAGCAGGAAGTTCTGAGACTGTGTTTTAAATGTGGGATGAAAGGCCACACAAGCAGAACCTGCCAGCGGAAGCAGTGGTGCAGTTACTGTAAGAATAACAGTCACAGCAACGCAACCTGCAGACGGAGAAAACAACGGGACAACGCACGGAAAGTAGCCGAAGAGACGGGCGGCGACAAAGAGTTTGCATTTCGGGTGAGCGACGCTGACACGCGAATGGACATCAGGAGAGGTCTGATGGTGGACGCTGGTGCAACATCGCATATAATCACCGACATCGGGAAGTTTCGGAAGCTTGATGAAAGTTTCCAGGCCGAGACGCACTGCGTGGAATTGGCTGATGGATCCAGGTGTTTTGGGGTTGCTAAGCAACGAGGAGACGCGTTAGGTCGACGTCTTAAAACGGTGCTGAGGAACAAATTGTACATCCCTTCATATCCGCAGGACATCTTCTCAGTGAAAGCTGCAACATCCAGCGGAGCAACGGTGATCTTCAAAGAAGGAAAGAACGTTCTTCTCAGAGACGATACCAAGTTTCCCATGTAACAAATTGTATTATTTGCAAACGACGGACAATGAATGTGGTGATCAGTGTAAAAAATGTTATGACTTACAAGGTTGGCATGAGATTCTTGGACATTGCAATTACAGAGATGTACTGAAGCTAGAAAATGTTGTTCATGGCATGGAAATTAAAGGGAGAGGTGAACCAATGCCATATTGTGAAGTTTGCACAAAAGGAAAATTTGTTCAAACTAGGAACAAGGAGCCAGATGCAAGAGCTAAAGAACCTCTAGCAATGGTCCACACAGATTTAGCAGGACCTATAGATCCAATGTCAAAAGATGGTCACAGATATGCATTATCCTTCACAGATGATTATTCCAGTGCAGTCTTTGTATAGTTTTTTTAAAAACAAGAGTGATACAGTACAAGCTACTGAAAAGTTTATTGCTGACATGACCCCACATGGAAAGATTAAATGTATGAGGTCAGATAATGGTACAGAATTCACAGGAAAAGAGTATCAGGCATTACTGAGCAGAAATAGTATCAGACACGAGACCTCCGCACCTTATTCTCCACATCAAAATGGTAGGCAGAACGAAACTGGAGAACTTTATTTGACATGGCTAGATGTATGTTAATCGATGGTGAGTTACCAAAAATTTATGGCCATATGCATTCAGACAGCTGCTGTGTAGTGCGAAACAGATGTTTTAATAATCGGACAAAACAAACCCTTACTTCATGTTGACAGGCAGACAGCCTAACATTTCTAGGATGCACAAGTTTGGATGCGTTTGTTACACTTACAAACGAGAGAAAGGGAAGCTGGATTCAAGGTGTGAAAAAGGCATTTTTATAGGGTATGACAAGAATAGCCCAGCTATATGGTCTACTATCCAAACAGCAGGAAAATCCAGAAACACAGGCTTGTGGAAATTGTATCCAGAGAGAAAAATGAGACGGATGTAACTTTGGATGATGATGATATGATTAGAATTAGTCCCAAAGCAACCAAAACTTCAGATGCTGTTCCAGTAAATCAGGACCTGAGCATAGAAAAAGAACCAATGGCGAGTACCAGTCACACAACAAAACATGAAAACCTGAGAGGCGATACCCTGTCAGAGAAAGAAAGAAACCAGATTATTTAGATGACTGTATGTAGCATTGATGAAGAGCAAATAGCTAACATTGATTATTGTTACAGACTGATAAGTGGAGTACCTCAAACCTACAAAGAAGCTGTAACGTCTGAATGCAAAAGAGTGGGTTACAGCAATGGATGAGGAAATGCAGTCATTACAGGACAATGTTACTTTTTCCCTGACCAACTTACCTGAGGGTAAAGCTGTAGTGGGGGGTAAATGGGTGTATACAATCAAAAAGAATAATGATGGATCAGATAAATATAAGGCTAGATATGTTGCTAAGGGATTCAGTCAAAAGAAAGGAGTGAACTATGATGAAACCTTTTCACCAACTGCTAGCATGACAAGCATCAGTGTTGATGCAAAAGGTAGCACAGGAGAACATGTTTGTTCACCAGATGGATGTAAAGACAGCATATTTACATGCTCCAATCGAATATGAACTTTATATTGAACAACCAGAGGGCTACAAGAAGGAATCTCAAGAAAATGAAAGACTGGTGTATAAACTGCAAAAATCTCTTTATGGACTCAAACAGTCAGGCAGAAACTGGAACAAAATGTTGCATGACTACCTATGTGAAATCAAGTTTGTTCAAAACCCTGCTGATAATTGTGTTTACACAAAGATTAATGATACTGAAACTGTGCATATCATTATATGGGTTGATGATTTGATTATTGCTGCCAGTGATACGAATATCCTTAAAGATGTAAAAGAGAAACTTGCATCCAAATTTAAGATGAAGGACTTAGGAAAGTTGAACATTTTCTTGGCATTGACTTTGAAAAAGAGGCTGACAGTGTTAAAATGTCACAGTCGAAGTATGTGAAGAAAATACTGGAAAAGTTTGACATGCAGAACTGTAAGCCACGAACTACTCCTTGTGAGCAGAAACTTTATGATGATAATGCTGAAGTAATGAGTGATGTCAGAAAATACAGGGAGGCAGTAGGAAGCTTAATCTATTTGTCAACATGTACAAGACCAGATTTAAGCTATGTAGTAAGTAAACTGACACAGTACTTTGCAAACCCAACCACAGAGCAGTGGAATACTGTAAAGCATGTTTTTAGGTATCTAAGAGGCACACAAGATAAAGAACTATGTTTTAAAAGGGGTGCCTGTGATAACCTTATATATGCATACAGTGATGCTGATTGGGCAGGTGATGTATCCGATCGAAAGAGTACAACAGGTTACTGTATGAGTCTAAATAAAGATGGTCCGTTAGTCTCATGGAAGACCAAAAGACAGCCTACAGTAGCTCTATCTACATGTGAAGCAGAGTGCACATGGCACTAGCTGCTACTATACAGGAATGCTTATACTTGAAACAACTGTTGTTCAACATGGATGGTCTGGATTATTTAGCTAAGATTCATGAGGACAATCAGGGTACCATATCCTTAGCCAAAAATCCTGTGAATAGACAAAGATGTAAACATATTGATATTAAATATCATTTTGTCAGAACAGTTGTAAATGAAGGAAACGTATTTCTAGAGTACTGTCCAACTAATGAAATGGTTGCAGATGTACTAACTAAACCAGCAACAAAGATTAAGTTGAGGAAGTATGAAATGTTTGTTTGGTGAATCATGAATGTATTTTGGTTGAAATATTAAGAGTCAGAGGAAGTTACCCAAATGTGAGCAAGTGGGGGTGTTGACATTATGAATGTTTTTGTGCTCTCATTTGTTGTTTTTTTCCTCATTATTGAATTATTGTGTGTCACATCACGTGACCTGTCTAATTGAACACACTCTGTACAATAAAAGGGTGTGTCCTCCAAACAAAGGGAGCACAACACTAAAGCCAAAACGGTGCGAGTTTCTTGATGTCACGTTGATCGCTGTGCCGAAAACTGATTCTGCTAACAAAAAGTAAAAAGCACAACATAGTAAAAATCCTCCTAAAAGTCAAATATTTCCAGTTACTCGTCTTAGTAATTCCTGTAGAAATGAGACTTCATCGCCATCTAGTGGCAGCTTTGCAGAACTGCAGCCAGTCGGGTTTTTCTGTCCCTCCCATAAAGCAACAGGAAGGAAAGGGGAAGCACATGTGAGGACGAACCGAGGCGCAACACCCGGTTTAGTAAGTGAATATTTATGTTATTCTGCTTTATTGGGCTGCAGGAATAATCCCAGAATTCCTGCTGATGAACTTTCTGGTGAATTTCACAGCGGCTGTTTGTTTTCTGATCCTCAGTGTAAAACAAGAAAAAAAAAAAAAAAAAAACGCGTAAACGTGTCATAGAAATGTGAAGGGAAACGTTCAGGATGAATAGAAATGTTTAACATGTTTCCATGATAAATTGCTAAATTTTAGAAAAAATCAGTTTCAGAGTTGACATAAATATATGTTTCTGTTTTATTAGAGAGAAGTTTTGTATGTTATTGAAATGTAACAGACGATTTAGTGAAATGCTTTGTTTACATTATTTTCTACTTCTGCTTCTTTGTCACATAAATGCTTCACACACATTTCATTTTAAACAAAGAGAAAAAAACTGTTTCATATTAATGTATTAAAACAATCCTATCCAACAGAACGTAACAACCTCTTATTTAAAGAAAAACTTTATAAATACACAGTAGTTAGTTTGCACTTTTATTTATTCTTTTAGAAAAGTCCAAACTTTTCTTCAAACAAAAGGGCAATCTTGTTTTGTTGACACTTCAAAATCCATTTTATTTTCACTTATTTTGGATATTTGAAACGTCTTCCAGTGTTAAATATTCTTTAAAAGTGAAAGTTTATCGATCTTTTAGTTGGTGTACTTGCAATAATATGCCATTATTATTATTTATGAGCTGGAAAATGGTTTCAAAATGACAGCAGTATCATTTCTGCAATAATTTCTGGGATAATTTCTGGTCCAGATGTGATAACTTCTGAATCCAGTGGAGATAAAAACCGTCCTGATGGGATGAATCAGTCAGAATGCAGCTCAGTTCCTGTCCAAAGGTTTGGTTTTGTTTTCACTCTGCTGGACGAGTTTATTGACTCGTCCAGCAGTTTGACATAGACAAAAAATCTGGTAAATGCTGGCTGAAGAGTTTTTGTCGTTTTCTGTAACTTGAGGCCCAGAGATCAGTTCAGTTACACAGTAACTGATTAGATTAGATTAGATTAGATTGCAGTTATACAAAGTGAAATATGTTGTTGCTATTTTGGTTTGTATTAAAGTTCGATTAGCATTCACACCTCTCCAAATGAACCAGACCTTCTCGGTAATTGGACTGGACTTGGATTAAAGCAGGGTTTAAACAGGGTTGGTGGGAATGCTCCCTTGGGGCGCAGCAGTCTGATCCAAAATCAGGAATTGATCAGTAGTGCAGAGCATTCTGGGTAAATACAACTAAAACAAACTTAGCATTAGCAGGAGAAATGGCTCATGGTCTTTAGCCAAAGACAAAAGTGAAATCTGGAACCACTAAAATCCATTTTTGTTTCCATTTGATGAAGAAAGAAGTTGCCTCAGTGTGTTCAGAGGTTTTTGTGTTGTTTCTTTCAGTGGTTCTTAGTGCAGTGCCCCCTTAGGGCAGGAGGGGAACAGGCTGGAGGTGGAACAAATGTTGTGACTTTGGTCCCAAACGTCAATAAACTGACCAGTCAATCCAAATGTTCTACATTCATCGGGTATTGGGTGCCGTCAGATTAAACCAAACCAAATTCGCTTTTTATGGTGAAAATTTGTTTGATTACGATAGTTCTAAAAAAATAAATCAATGCTTCAGTAATTTAGTATTTTGTGTACGTTTTGTGTTTTCAGGGTCTCAGCTGGTGCCTAAACAACAATGGCGACTGCTAAAGAGGACCTGTGGAAGATCCTGGAGAACCTGACAATCGACCAGTTCAAAAAGTTCAAGTGGCTGCTTGAGGATGATGGGAATGACTCCGGAGGGATCCCGGTGTCCCGGCTGGAGAAGGCGGACCGGCCGGACACGGTGGACCTGATGCTCCAACAGTACGACGAGGCCGAGGCGCTGAGGAGATCGTTGCAGGTTTTAGCGAAAATTGGCAGGAATGATCTGGTACAACGTCTGTCAAACACAAGATCGGCGCAAAGAGGTAAATATGAAAACTGATCAGTTATTGTTGTTATAATGTCCCTAAATTCTGACAATTTTAGATTTCTGACCCTAATCTCATAATTTAAATTTGTATATCATCATTAAGTATCAAAATTCTGACTTTAATCTGAGAATTTAGGTTTGCAAGGAGTCATTTTATCTTAGATTTCTGACTTTAATGTGAGAAATTTGACTTTCCTATCAGAATTCTTAATGTTACAATTTAAGTTTGTAAGCCAGCATTTAACCTCAGGAATATCTGTGTGGTGAAACTGACTCTGGTTTTGCTCCAATCCAGGCCTGACTGCTGCTCCTTCTCGATGTGAAAGACAGAAGTCCAGACTGAGGGAAATGAAGTTGGAAACGAGGCTGAAAATAAAAGAGAGAGAGATGAAGATCTGTGAGATCCGGCGTTCAGCAGAGCTGAGCAGGAAGTCTGCCGAGCGACAGACAGCAGAGAGTCAGCAGACATTCAGGGTTTTAATCCAGTCGGTCGAGGAAAGTCTATCCCATCTCACCAAAGCCGTCGAGGAGAAGCAGAAGACTTTCCAAAACCAAGCGGAGAAGCTCATCAGAGAGCTGGAGGAGGAAATCTCAGAGCTGACGAAAAGCGAGGCGGAGCTGGATCGTCTTCTCCTTACGGATACCAACCTGCAGTCCCTCCAGGACGTAAAAACCTCCGACCTCACAGAGTTCTCCGCTCCTCAGCCGTCCTACGGCAAAACTGTCATGGCTTCCATGGACAAGCTGAAAGAAATGCTTGACAGAGAGATGGAGAGGTTCCTCAGCAAGGCCAAGCTGATCCGAATGCAGCAGTTTGAGGTCGATGTGACTCTGGATCCGGACACGGCGCATCCCAACCTGGTTTTATCTCCAGACAGGAAGCGGGTCCACTGTGGCGGCGTGAAGCAGAATCTCCCCGATAATCCGCAGCGGTTCGACACTGCGGCCAACGTTTTGGGCAGCCAGAGTTTCTCCTCTGGAAGAGTTTACTTTGAGGCTGAGGTGAGAGAAAAAACGGCCTGGGACGTCGGCGTCGTCTACGGGTCGATTGGCAGGAAGGGGTCGATCTCATCAATCCCCGGCAGCGGCTACTGGGCCGTCGGATTACGAAGCGGCGATACGATCAAGGCGGCCGGTTTGAACCTGAATGTAAAATCTCAATTGAACAAAGTCGGTGTTTTTGTGGATTACAAAGAGGGCTCCGTCATTTTCTATGACATTGATTCTGCAGAACAGATCCACCGATTCTCAGACTGCTCCTTCACGGAGGAACTTTATCCGTTCTTCAGTCCCGGCGTTCATCAAGGCGGCTCCAACGCCAAACCTCTGGTCATCTCTCAAATACAATAATTTAACTTTTTAAACCAATTTGAGCTGTAATTGTTATGATTGTTTTCTAGATGTTAACAGGAGACGAGATAAATCATTTTCAGGTAAAAAGAGGAATTATGTAGACAAGATGCTCATGTTGTAATAAAATCCAGACCTTTTTGTTTATAAATAACATTAAGTTTCTCTGTTATTGTTACCATCATGAATAAATAAGGGTTTGTTGTTATTTTTTTTCATTTTGGATATCACTGGGTCAGGTCTTTTTCTAGATATAAGTCTGTCAATAATATTTTCACAAATATTTACTAGCCATGTATTTTTGAAAGTTTGAAAATATATATTTTTAGGTCAAAAACACATAAATTTCAGCGACTGTCCCACAGATGATACATGTGTTTAAATTAAGAGCTTAAAACCAGTAAGGCCTGCAAATAGTTAAATTATAAACATAATTTTAATTCAGCTATTTTAATTATTTTTCTGCAAAACATTTGAGAAAGGAACATAGGTTTTTTTGTAGTACCATCTTTTTGCCACCAGATGGCAATATGCGCTCTTTACTTTGCTGTTTTCCTTCTGAGTTTTCTGAATCTCATCCTATCCATCTCTTTTTGTAAGAACATTTCCAAACCGTATCTTTCCTCTCCAAGCTGTTTATTTGTAATCCCATCCATCCTGATCATCCCAATAAAAATCTATTATCAAATAGGAGGTGGGATCTAAACAATGTTGTTTTTCTTTGCACAATGTGTGTAAATTGTGTTGAATTGATGTCATTGATATGAAGAGTAATAAATAAAAACTGTTGTGCTGTTTTTACTCTGAGTTAAATAAAGTTCAGAGTGTAAATGTATAAATGAAATCAAAGTGACAATATGCATCTGCAATATATAGTGATATGACATCTTAATTAATACCCCAAAGTAACTACACTTGTGTTAGCCAGTCAGACTGAAACTGACTGGCTAACACAAAGTTAGCCAGTCAGTGGTCATAAAGTTCAATAGGGGTCAAAGTTCATGTGATAAGCAGCACAACTACGTAGATTCTATGAACAGGATTTATTCACTCATTTCCATTGATAAACAAACGTGTATTATAATAGCAGTATAGTGTATTATGGTACTTAATAATATAAATGGAAAAAATAAAAAGAGTTAAGATTCTTTCCCTTCATAAGACGGCGCTCACCGATTGGCTGGCTGGACTTACTACTGCATGCATGTAAGCTACTGCATACGAGAGGTCGGGTCTTCAAATCAACATGAAAATCGCTTTAGTAAACACGTCATAAGAGTTTATTAAAGAGCTATCCTGTAACAAAGATATCTTTTTGGCAGAGACATCCTGTTAAAGAAAGGATATCTCTACCTGTAACAGGATGGAAATATCCTAACATGTCAAAAAGAAACCTGTTACTGTTTTACTGTCTTTGCTGAAGCTGCTTTCAGTTTGAAGAGCTCCTCCTCTGCAAGCAGGGCAGCTGAAAAGAGACGCTGACGTGAACAGGAAGTCAGCCTGAAACAGGACAGAAACCATTATACCGTTAGCAGACAGAAACACTCAGCTGTATTTAAACAACTTGGTTGGACTGAGATGGGTGAGTTCTCCTTCTGTACTTGATTCAGCAGCAGGAAATGTAGGAATACTCGGTACAAGAACAGAAACTAACATGTTCAGCAAAGCTAAGAACGAGGTTTGCTATCTGGTTGATAAACGCCTCTCCATAAAAATAGCACAGAGATGTTTCAGGCTCTTAGAAGCACTTCAAAAACAGTTTACAGGATTAAAAAATTTATTTTTGTCTCAATCCGAAGCCGTTCGTTCTGCCTCTGAGACTAAAGCACCTAAAACAAAGTTGGGCTAATTATAGAACAAGAAACATTTACAGAATAAAGAGTTTTAAACTAATACTTCTATGAAGGTAAGTCAGTAAAACAAAGTGACAATAATATATCAATCAGTTGCAATGATTTGGAGACATGAATTCAGTCAACAAAGCAAAATGGAAACTTTCTCACGTTTTCTCAAAGTTTGGTGTTGAGAATTAGAGTTATGTCTTTGCAGAGGACATGGAAGCACAAGGTTTATTCTGTACAAATCAACCCTGATTTGCAGAAGTAAACTCAATCTTGTTTGGAGTATATTTGTTGGGTTTTGTTTAAAGACATTTATTTGAACTAAATATTTTTGCTGTTTCCATATTTCCAGAAGTTCCCTAAAAGTGACAGCATGGAAAAACTTTCTGTGGAGCTCCTGAATACTCTCAAGAACCTGAAGCAGGATGACTTTGAACAATTTAAATGGTTTTTGAAGCAGGATGACATGTTGAAAGGTCAAAAGGGCATCCCAGCAGATGAGCTGGAGGGGGCAGAAAGATGGGAGACGGTTGATCTGATGCTACGCCAATACAAAGGCCCTGGAGCGAAGCAGGTGGCAATCAATATTTTAGAGGCGATTGGACAGAACAAACTGGCGGGTCAGTTAAAAAGATTCTGCGAAGAACAAGGTAAGAGAAAATAAAACAATTCTGACAATGGAAATGTGGGGCCATGTATATTAAATGTTTTGACTTTCAGTCTCACATTTGTGTAAATTTGACAGCACAGTCGTGTGAATGGAATAGTAAGATACCAAACACACAACCTAGTGGAACTCCTGTGCTCAGACTGACGGACGCACAATTTAACCTGGACAATCACCTGGTTTCCCTCAGTCCGACCGTGGCATCTGGTGCGATCCTCCTGAGCGTCACACTAAGACCGAGGGTTAGGTCACAACGATGGCAACTGGCTAATGCACATGAGATAGAAGTCACCTCAACAAAAAATATTGTGATGCTTTATCTTGTTCGATGAGGTCTCAAAACAACATTTTCAGTAAAGAGTGATGGTATGGTTAGTCTCTGTCGTTTAAGTTTTGGCCATTTTGTTGGATGTTTCAAAGTTGCAATATATTTCAGCACTAATTCTGATATGTAAAATCTAGCCCTGTTTGTCCAGATAGAAGAGCTACTTCATGGATGCCTTGTTTCATTTCAGATCTCAGACCTCGGCATCTACGTTTTGTGACAGAAGGCATTGGAGAAAAGGAAGCCGAGTTGGAAAAACTCCGTGAGTTTGCAGTGGACGTAACCTTGGATCCAGATACGGCGCATCGCGATCTCGTCCTCTCCAGTGATGGGAAACAAGTTTACGACACTAACGTGACTAAAGATCTCCCAATGACCTCACAGAGATTTGACACATGTGCCAGTGTATTAGGAAAAGAGACATTTTCTTCAGGAAAGTTCTACATTGAGGTTCAGGTTGAAGGGAAGACTGCTTGGTCTGTTGGGGTGGCCCGGGAGTCCATCAACCGGAAAGGAAAAATCTGCCTCAGCACCGACAATGGCTTCTGGGCCATATGGTTAAAGGACAAGGTTTATGAAGCTTTGGCAAAGCCTTCAGTCGTACTCCCTCTGAAATCCCGTCTTCAGAAGGTGGGTATCTTTGTGGATTATGACATGGGCCTCGTCTCCTTCTATAATGTAGATACAGCAGATCTGATCTATTCCTACAAAAAATGCTCCTTCAAAAAAAATCTCCTGCTGTATATTAACACAAGTAGTAACTGCAATGGCAGAAACTCTGCTCCGATGATCATCACTCCTGTAGTTGACAAGATAAACAAAGCAACACTGAGGAGCATCAAGGAGTTTGCATTTGAGGTGACTTTGGATCCAGATACGGCACATCCGGAACTAGTTTTATCTGACAATGGGAAACGGGTCCATCATGAAGACGTGAGGAAAGACATTCCAGACAATCCACAGAGATTCAGTGACCATGTCAGTGTATTAGGAAAAAGCTTCTTCCATCAAAGATTCTACTTCGAGGTCCAGGTTAAAGGGAAGACCGACTGGACTATAGGAGTTGCCACTGAGTCAATTGAAAGGAAGGGAGAACTCACACTCCAACCAGAAAGTGGTTTCTGGACAATTTGTCTAAGGAACGGGGAAGAATACGAGGCATTTGATAAACCAATAGTCCGATTAACTAGAAGATTAAATCCAGAGAGGGTGGGAGTATTTGTTGATTATGAAGGAGGTCTGGTCTCCTTTTATAACGTAGATACTGCTGATCTTCTCTACTCCTTTACTGGTTGCTGCTTCGCGGAGAGACTTTTGCCTTTCTTTAGTCCCTGCACTAATATTGGAGGTACAAATTCTGCTCCTCTGATTATTTCTCCTGTCAGTCTCTTTGATTATTAGATCAATCTTATCGTCATTTGAAAGAGCTAGTGACAGCCTGTGTCGACAAGTGACGGTACATCCTGAGAACATCACCAGTCCATCTCAGAGACACACAGGACAGTCAACCATGCTCAGTCTTAGACTTGAGGTCGACTGAGGGTACATTCACACCAACCCTGGTTAGCCCACGTTAAAATGGAAAGTCCAGTTCAGTGAGAATGCATAATCAAAATCTGACTTGGACCAAAAAAGCAAACTCTGGTTCACCTACCAACCAAGGTCTTGGATTGGTTGAAGTACAATCTGGCATGGTTCGAAGGGACATGTGAACGCCAAGCGGACCAGAAACCGCTCCAAAGACAGAAAGCAAACTATAGCATTCTGGGTAAATACAACCACAACAAACACACGTCTACTTCCAGAAGGAGAAATGACTTGTGGTCTTTTACCAGAGAAGAAATACTACAACCACTAAAATCTGTTGCCAGTCCGTTTTTGTTTACTTTGTGTGAAGAAGGAAGTTGCGCTTGGCGTCTTCTTCAGGTTTCCTTTAGTGACTCTTGGTGCAGCTCCACCACAGCCAAGGAGCAACAGGTTGCTCAAAAGGTTTGCTCCATTTCCAGTGGGAAAGACAACAGCTAAGAATTTACCAAATGTCGCAATTTTCTACAAGACACATCAGGTATGAAACAAACATAGAGACCTGTAAAGTGTTTTTTGAGTGGCAGGGGTTTGGACTGTGGGAGGAAGTCAAACTGCCCATAGAGAACCCATCTATATACAGGGAGAACATGTGGACTACATGCAGAAAGACCCCAGGTCAAGGTTCAAAGACTCATACACCTCGTTATTCTCTCAGTCCTGGTCTTATATGAATTTTGTTTCTTTCCAGCTTGAGACTTTCTTCCACTTTCAGCACCTGTAGTTCCTGTGTTTGCTGCTTTGCGCTGTGCTCTGGTTTGTGACTCAACGTCATGTTTACAGACGAGTAAATCATTGCACTGGCTCATTTGGTGCTCCAAGTACTGCAGCGGTTAAAGGTCTTAGTTCATTGAAGTTTGAAATGTTGATTAAGATTTTTAGATAAATCATAATAAAATGAAATTCTTAGAAACCAGGAACTTTGTGTTTTTTCTTCCACCTAGAATGTTTTATTTCCAAGTTGAAAGGGAAGTATGACATATTTGACAAAACCCAGTCTGCATATGTTGATGAATCCATTTTTACGAAAACAAAGCTTTGCTTCAGCGCTAATATATGAGCGATTTTAGTACATTAGGAACCAGTAGGCTAGAGAGTAGCTTTGGCCTTCACCTTTTTTCATGCAAAAGTTCAAATAAATCAGCAATAAACTAACCGTGTGCAGTTCTAGTGACTCTAAGGCAGGCTTATTAACTCTTTTGGCGACACCTTGAGGGAAAACCATTATTGCACAAATCAAAAACACAATCATTAATTTAGTACAGTTTACTGCTTCCCTTTGCTGATGTTTCTGAACATGAACTTCTTTCTTGAGGTTTGGCGCATTCTGGGTGAATTAATGCAGAAACAGGCCGAATAATCGATCCCAGAAGTCAGTCAGTCAGTGAATGACTGAAGAACCACTCACACCAGCGTTTCCTCAGGTAAAAATATGACTTTCATTTTCTAAAACACTGTTGTGGTGCTTAGTTTCTGTAACCAACTACATGCAGCATTTTCTGACGATCGTAATAAAAGCTTTTCAGCAAGTATGTTTCAGGTCAATTGAACAGTTTATTTAAATTAATTAACAGTTAATACAAATCAATCATGCACATTTCCAACAGGAACCTTAATGTTGGATCTCTTTGGCATCGGAAAGTAAAAAAATATGTTTTTTTCTCTAAACTAAAAACCAATTAATCTGAAACCTTTGGAAAAATTTGCATTAAATTCAGAAGCGAGCTTTTAAACGAGCCCATCTATGCTAACAATAATAACAAAAACCAAACCTGTAGATGGGAACCAACAACTCTGCGCGAAACGCCCTGATGCCCAGCTTCAGTACTCCCTGTTGAATCGCTTGTTAACTTTGGTGACGGGAATGCAGACTTTGAGGCCGATGAGGAAGAACTGCTTCTGTTCCTCCAGCCACACCAGCAGCATCTTCACCTCACCGTCCGCGTTCCTGTACAGCATCTGGAAGTCGTGGCCGCTGTAGTCGCAGGACATGGCCGTCTTGGCCATAGTGATGTGGATGGGCGTGCTGACGCACCAGAACGGTTTCTGGAACTCATCCAGCAGAGTCAGGCTCATGATGCAGCAGTTCTACACAAAAAGCAACAGAGAAACATCAGAACTGGACTCCATGAACAGAACCTTCCACTATAGCAGCATTTCTCAAACTTCTTCAGGCCGAGAGCAACTTACCCCATTTAACACTACACCTGAAATTGGCCCAAATAACTTAATATAAACCACCTGAAATGAAAATATTAGTGTCTTAACTCAGTCTTTGTTCCTCTTACTGTGACCATAAACTACGACAACTGGAGGCGTTTTGAGGTTCATGAGAGAACTTAGCCGAAGCTTTCCAATGATGGAAAACACATGGAAATAAAAACATTTCTTTACTACAAGTGTTGGGTGAATTAATAAAGTTTTAGGGCTATTTATAATGTAAAAACATTAAAAAAGGAAAACAGACTTGAGTTGCTTTGACTTAAGCAAATATTTTCTTTCAGCCAATCGACATCTTAATACTTACAATAATCTTATTGTAAGTATTAAGATGCAGTAAGTCGGCGGGGGGCGCAGCGGTGTTTACTGCCTCGTCACCAGCAGATCGAGGTCTGCGTGTCTTGATATGGATATTAATATCGTTTAAAAACAAAAGTTCTGCAATTCACCCTGAGAAACTTTCCACCGGTATGTTCAGGTTTTCGTTTTAGTGACTTCAGCCAGCCTTCACATTATTATTTTTAAACACAATCCTTTGGTAAGCTAACTGTAGCGTCACACTTTGAGCTCACAGAACCTCACAGACAGGTAGGGGGCGCCGACGGACCAGCAGCAGTCCACATAAAGACTGGACTCCAATGTCAAAAATATTCACTAACATCCACAGGCTCATCAAATCCAGGAACTCTCTTCATTCAAAAGGCATTAAAAGTTTGAGAGACCATCAACACCATTCTGGTTAGATTTGAAGGATGTTGGTGGAAATTGACATCGCTCCATAAAGACATGGATGGTCAGGTTTGGTGTGGAAGGAAGTGACCTCACAGTGGGCTGAGACTGAGAAAATACCTTCTCCTCCAACATCAGTGTCTGACCTCACAAATGAACGTCTGGGCAATAAACTCCTAAACCTTCCTAGAAGAGTTTAATCTGCCAGAGATGCAATAAAGTAGCTGTGAGTCAAAAACAAACAGCACATATGTGAAGCAACAGAGTTGTGACAGGAATCATGTTAAATTACTCAAAATTTTATTTATTTTTTTCTAATTAAATAGAAAAAATGTAATTTATTTTTTTCTAATTAAATAAAACCCAAAAATGTGAAAAATGGCACATTACTGCCACCTAGTGGCGGCCGAATTTCTGCTTAAAAAATGTTTTGTTTTTACCTCCACTACTCCTGTCATGTCCTCATGTCTCCAGGGAAGTCTGATGCTGCCAGATAGCGATCTGTGCTGAGACAGATTTGACCTCTGGATGACCTGGAGCTCCACCATGCCACGCTGAATCTGAGCTGACCTCCACCAATCAGAACCGAGATAAACGGGACGAAAAAAACATCATTTAGGGTGTTTTCACACCAACAGTCAAACATTTAACAAACATCTAAGAGAGGGTGTCTAAAGTGAGGAACGGGGGCCATTTGTGGCCCTTGGACTGATTGGATGCGGCCCCCCAACTGCAATTTAAAAATTATATAAATTTGTCCCGTAGATCCAGAAGGAGACTTTTAATTTGTAATCAGTCCAAAAATTGTTAGCTACATGATTTTCTTATACAGAAAAATGCAAAATACAACACAAAGTATTTGTCTTTCTATAACCACTTTTTATTAAAAGGTAAAACCAAAAGACTTTCACTGAAAAGCCAACTTTGCATCCAAACCAGTTTAATTCTGTCTTAAACTAGGCTAAACTTAAATAATGTTGTGAGAAAAAGCGACCCAAATCCTTTCACTGTTACTGAAAATAAATGTTTTCAATTGAGCCCAAAAGAAACTGAAAACATGCTAAATTAAAGTAGCAGGAAGTAATATATTGTAGGAAATCTAAGAAATTTCCAAGGAAAGAATATCATTTTTAGATTAATATAAAGGGGTTCACAACATTTTTAAATTTGAAAGTTTTTTTCAGAGATTAATCACAAAACTTTTGAGTTTTTTGCAGAAATGTAATTATTTTTTTCTTTCTCTAACAAACCTAATACATTGTTGGAAAAATTGCTTTCAAGTTTTTCATGTACAATAAATATATGGATACTTTAATCGACTAAGTTTAGGTTATTTTTTCGCCTGTGATCATTTCAAGAGTCTACAATTCTGGCCCACCTGGCAACAAGTTTGGACTTTCCTGATCTAAGATGTTAATCCTGGATTTTATTGACATTTCAGTCAACAAAATACGGAACGGAAAATTGTGAAAATCTTTCAGCTTCTGTATTTTGATCACCTTTGTGGCAAAACAGCTGCTGGAAGCGTCCCGACATGATCTCAGTGCCGGTGTTGTGCAGGACGAAGTGCAAACTGTAGCCGTGAAGACCGAGCTCGGGGTCCACATCGTCCACAGGAGGAAGCTCCACAGGCTCAGAGTACGGGCTGCAAGAAGGGACAAAAACACCTCTGTGATTTTTAATACAATACCTTTCACTTACTAAAAAACCAAAGCAAGGTAATACGATTTTGTTGAGATTGAAAATGAAATCAGCTAAAGTTTCTGTTTTCATGTCAGTTTCAATAAATCAATGCTATAAGGAGAAACAAATGACATTATGAACAAATTTAAGACATTTATATTTTAACACGTAAAACTAAAATGATTACATTTCAGTGTTTTTAAAGCTATGCAGAAATAAAGACTAATAATAATAATTTGCACCAATCAGCAGCAGTGATGCACTGCGCCCAGCAGATGGCGGTCTTACTTCATTTTGATCAAAATCGGTTCAAAATGTTGAAGTTGAGAAACATGGTGCAGTCAGTTCACCTGACAGAACAACCAGCTGGGTTTTAAAAGTTGATCCAGTGATTAAGTCATCACTAATGCACTGTTATTGATCTGATAAATCCAGTTTACTTTCTTTGTCTGACAGTGAAAACTGAGTGAGGATAAACCAGCAGAGAGCCATTAATGAGGAGGAGACCCACCAGGCTGGAGAGCCCAGCAGACTTTTCTCCACCAGCTTGTGGAAGTGAAGGCTGATCATGATGAAGGCCACCTGGTTCTTTCCCTGCAAGCATTCAGATGTTAAGAACCTGAAGCATCCAGGTTCAGCCCTGATGGGGCCCATCGATGCCCTGTTTACCCTCCAGACTCCAACGATGACCCCCTGCTGCAGAAGCAACACCTTGATCAGTTTGTCTTTGCCGATGACAAGAAACTGACTTCCTGCGTCCAGCTTTAAGATCAGGGAGCGCCAGTTGGGTCTGGAGGAGGAAGAGGAGGAAATGTTCGGCTTTTCAAACACAGAATGAAACTTCGAGGACAAAACTCCCACTGACAGTGGAAATGGTACAAATGGTACTAACTGAACAACTATAGATCAATAATCCCCCTTTAACACTAGAACAACCACTGCCATGGCAATTTATGTGTTTATGTTTGTATTTACATTTGATTGAACAGTCAAAGTCTTGCTGGTTCCTGACTTTTCCTAAAACTGTGTGAATTTCATTAAAAATGTCTGCAGTTGTGTTTAATACCAAACTGGAAGCTGCAGGAATAATCAATAAATTAATTAATCATAGGATAAATTAAGACAAGCTCAATAATTTCCATTTGCTTGAGTTTTTAAGTTTCTCTTTTCTCTCTTCCTAACAAAAACTGAATGATAAAAGTTTCCATGATGTTTTGATCTCAACTGGCTCCTTTCTTTTTTTAAGGATAATTTTTTTTACTGAGTTCATAATTCATTTTATTCATTGTTTCTATTGTTTTAAATAAAACAAAAATAAAAGTTTTTTCCCTCTTTGGCGGTTTGGGGAGCTGACGGGACGCTCCCATCTCCTCCTGAGCATCAGGACAGCAGGACAGCAGGACAGCGCTGGACCTTACTTCCTGGTTCTGACGCTGCTCTGAGGATCCTTCCGGACTCCGTGTAGCTGAATCGTGGAGATGTGATTGAACTTTATGTGGATTCCATCGCTCCAGTGAACAATCACAGACGACTCAAAGAAGTGCGCCTGGCTCTGCTCCAGCGTGTGCTCCTGACCCAAATGCTCGCACAGCGTCAGCTCCCAGCTCACGTTCAGGCTCCTGAGAGACACACAGCTGGAATAAATACAACACTTAAACGGAAACAACTTCTCTCATCGAGTTCTTCTCACCAAACATGGAAATCATGAACATGTTTGTCTAAACAATACTGACTCTGCAAAATACATCGCATTTTGTCACAAGACAAATCAGAATAAAGCAGAGCAAGAAAAATTACACTTGGCTGTTTACGTTTACGATATCTGAAAAGTGTGGCATAAATATATTCTACAAAAATTCTAAGAAGTCCTGACGTTTTCCCATCATCCTCCCTGACCTGAGGGCCCACTCGGTCTGCCGGGGCAGGCCGGTGTACGGATTGATGTCTTTCAGGGGTTTCCTCCACTTGTTCATCTCCTGGCCGGCCATCGATTTAAAGTATAACCTCTTCCAGCGGCTCGTCAAACCATCCTCCCCCTCCACGCACTTCTCCGATGTCTTCAGCTTCCAGTTTCGACTGCCGAACTCCAACGCGTAAATCCTCTGCCACAAGACGCTGCGATGACAAAAATCCAGAGGGAGAGAGAGTTTCAGACTCTGTTGGGTCATGAACCTGGAGCAGCTGCAGAATTGCTTGGACTCACTCATCATTGGAGAGCTGATGGAGGAGTCTGCTCACGTGGCTGAGGCAGAACAGCGAGGACGGGTCCAGGTAGGACAGGATCTTCACCAGGATCTCCGAGGGAAGACTGGAGAAAATGGAAACTTTTTCTAAGAAAGGTAACTTTAGGGACAACTCCATGCTCTATATACTATTGTTAATCACTTAATCGATTCTTTCATCTTTATTTTTGTTGGAAGCTATTAGCCTTCACATGCTACATCATCATCATCCTGTATTAGCAACCATCAGCCTTTTTCACAGAATAGGATTAGGGCCACTGAAAGAAAAATGTTTTATTTAAATCTGAAAATTCTGTCTTATCCAAGATTTTTGATTTTCATCTCTGGATAGTGACTTTAATCTCAAATTTCTGATTTTAATTTTAAAATTCTAACTTTTCTTTTGATTTCAGTCTCAAAATTATGATTTTAATCTCAGAATTAACACCTTTATTCAGAATTCCGGGATTAAGGTGAGATTTTTTTTTAGTTACTTTTAATCCTCTTCTGTATTTTTATTAGCCTATATCCTTACAAATCCCCTGTACTAAACATTGAAGTCCCATATCCTTCTATGAAAAACATAAACAATAATAACTGCTGATAATGTTTTTTCTTTTAATTTTTATTTAATAGCGTTTTTATTAACATGTTTAGGCTAATTCGAGTCGTCAAAAGCTTTATCAGTACTTAAAACTCCATCAATAACTCAGCAAATCAGAGGAGTCTTCACTTCACAAACCAACCAATGACAGGGCTCGTTCTCAACATTAGGACCAATCAGAGAAGAGTTTGCTTGAGTGCAGCGGATATTGTGGTCCGTTTAATTAGCTCACCTTTCCAGTAGGTTTAGCTTGCATGGAGGTGGTTTTCTATGGGAGCCTTCTTTTGGCGGTCCAGTTCGGGAACTGAAAAACAAAGCAATTCAAATACATTTTTCAAAATTCGCATAAATTAAGACATTGAAGGAGCCATAAAGAACCGACACCTAGCTTCAGTCTCGCCACCGGAGCTTCGAGCTGCAACTTTCCTCTGTCGCTCCTTCCTCCTCTGGCCTGAAAATCCTCTCCCCTGGCCGGAGAAACTTCCTCCGGGTCGCGGCCTTCCTCTGCCGCGGTTCGGCTGTCCCGTCTCCGGAACCCGTTGGGAAGGCTGCCGCTGCAAACCCTCCAAAAAGCTTCGAAAAAACTCGCCTCGTCCCGCCGCCATTACCGCGGATCTCCAAGGCTGCCTGTTAGCAGAGCGCAGTAACCGGATCATCCGCTAGATGGCAGCAGAGATGTTTCTAAATCACACCTGAACACACAATGGAATAAAAAATAGTTTAAGATATTTTAATATAAAGTGTTAGTATTTTAATACATGTATGCCTTCTAATTAACTAAAATTCAAATTCAAAAATACTCTTGATTGGCGTTTTCTTGTGTTTGTAACAAAACCCTGACAGAAATAAAGCTTTACGTTGACTACTCTAGTAGTGTTTAATTAGCAGCAGGGTTTAAATGTCTCTGGAGTCCGTTCTATTAACAATTCATTTAGTGAAGAATGAAGTTGCGCTCAGTGTCTTCTTCAGATGTTTTGTGTCATTTAAATTAATTGGTTGCAGCGCCCCCGCAGGTGAGGAGGGGAACAGGTTGACTGAATAAAGTGAGAAAGAGAACCACAGCAGCAAGAAAAATTTAACTGCTTCTACCAAATTCTCAGATGGAAATTAGAACAAATGAGAGCTTAAATTGACTTCCTTTATGAAGAACAATGTCTGTGTGTGTGTGTGTGTGTGTGTGTGTGTGTGTGTGTGTGTGTGTGGGTGGGTGGGTGGGTGTGTGTGTGTGTGTGTGTGTGTGTGTGTGTGTGTGTGTGTGTGTTTGCTTCTCTTTGTAATTTAACTAAAAGCTGAGAAACCTGAGATTACACACTTACACACACACTCTTGTTACGTGAAGCGCCGAGTCTTTGTCTGTGATGTCAACATGTTATTGGTCTCCAGGCAGCTCCATAAACAACAGAACGCTGCGTAACGGGACGATGCCCTCATATGGAAGATTTCAGACACCACACACTTTCGGAGTCTCCTGGGAATCGGAGCGGAGAAAACCGGAGATCCACGGAGACACGTGGTGAGTGTCTCTTTATTTTCACCTAAACATGCTAAATCTACAGAAAAAACAATAACACAAAGGCTGGAAAAAACCAAGCTGCTGCAACGGCCTAGTCAAAGTCCAGACCTCAGTCTGATTCTAAAGTAGTGACAGGAACATCGGACTGAAGCAAGAGAGGTTAAAAGTTCCCCCAAATTGACAAACAATAACAGGAGTTTATGCAACAAACTGCTAAATTATCTGTAGTTTATGTTTTTAATTTAAAAAAAATATAAAACGGGAGATTTATTGATTTAGGACAAAGTCTGCATTTATGATGCCAGCAGTCTCCCACTTACCGGCAGGGTCATTTCAGGTTAGTTAAATATAAATGATAAGAGATTACGATTTACACGGTGGCGCCATTTCATGTGTGTAAGAGAGAAAACGACGACAAACTTCAAATTATGACAAACCAGGAGTCTGAACCACGAGGGGGATGAGAGAGAGAATTTATTAATAAATGCAAAACAAATAGCAAACAGAGAAAATGAGAGCAATGAGGAAGTGATACAAAACACAGAGCAAATGGAGATTCTTTCAGGCCTGGAGGTGGATTAACAAAGCTGCAGCTCTTTTATTATCCAAACCTGATTATTCAGAGAGGAATCTGTCAAAAATGATGGTTTCCAATATCAGAGACACAACTGAACCACAAAACATTCACTGTGTGTTTACAGAGGCTGCGCTTTCTCACAACGCAGTGTTGGGGAAAAAAAAGACACAGTAGGTCCATGTTTTTAAAATTTCACAAAGGAAGAAATTTAAGACAAAGAGTTATAGAAAACCTGATTTATGCCCATAAAGTACCGTGATTTGATTTCGTTCCATTACTGGATTAAAAAAAAAATTGAAATAGAATTAAAAAGTTAATTTATTTCAGTAAATCAATTCAAAAAGTGAAACCCATGTATTATATTTATTGCACACAAGTCATGTACTTTAAGAAGTCCAAGAAAAGTTGACTAATGAAACCAGGAAACTGATTCAGCTTTAGAGATGTTTTTTAGCTGCTCTCAGTTGCAAGAAATGGCTTGTTGTCATGGTTGCATGTCATATTAACTGTCTAAAAGTAAAAGAAAAGTAGGAGCAAAAAACTGCACAAAGTTTAAAACCAGAGCGAAAAATTGTATGTACAAAAAAGCTTCAGTCCAACTAAAGAACTAAAAGTCTGAAACTGTGTCTTTTTATGATTTATGTGAAAATTACCCACAGATTCAATTTATTTTTCTGTTTCTGTTATTAAAAAGAATAATAAAAACTAAAAATGCAGAAAAGTTGTTTGCGTAACTTGAAAGGATTTCATTGACATCCCAGAAGACATTTTTCAGCTGGAGAAATTAAAATGTTGCTAACATCTATTATATAATTACAACAAAGTGTCCGAGTCATATTAATTAAATATAAAACATAAAATTACAAGAATAAAGTCAGAATATTAGTATGTCATTATGACTTTACTTTCAGAATTTTACTTTAAAATTATTTTTAGCATAACTTAATGCTCTGTCATTTAACATAATCCCACCATAAAAAAAAAATAAAACTCCTCAAACAAATGAATAACACATCTATTACTGTAGTGACATAATCAAACTGTATTATAAATAAATTATAGTGATGGCTTTCCACTAAGAGTCTGAGTGGGGCCCATCTGGCCACCTTTTGGCTGCGCCCCTGGAAGGAAAGGGCGAGTTAAAGAGGAGGAGGAGACAGAGGAGACAGAGGAGGAGGAAGAGGAGGAGCTGAAGATGGAGGAAGAGGAGGTGTCCTGCTCAGTGGAGACCAGAGGAGAGGAGCGGCCGCCATGTTAACCAAGAAGCCCGGAGCCTCGGTCCTCCCGGCGGGTAAGCATAGCTTCTGTTCCCGGTGTCGCGGCCTCTGATCGCGGCTGCCTCGGGACTTTCCGTCCGCCTCGGTTCGATCCCGGCTCCGGGGTCAGGAAAGAGGAAGCTCCCCCCAGCCAGGGCTGGAAGCTCTGCTAGCTTACCTGGCCGCCGCGGTCTGCTCAGCCTGGGCTCCAGCTCCTTAATTTGTCCGTAATCTGCTGAAGTGGACGCCGGGGAGGAGGCGCTCGGAGGGCTGACCGCCCCGCAGCAGCTGAACCGGGCGAAGCTCCGGCGCCTCCTTCGCTGCCTGCCTGCCTGCCTGCCTGTCAGGTTTATTTTTAGCCCGCAGATGGGAGCTGACAGCGGCAGGAGAAGCGGCTTTTTCTGCTGCCTTCCGCGGCTCTGTGAGCCTGTTTGCGGCTCCTTTGTGGCGCTTTCCCGGGCGGTGCTGCGCCGCCCGGACGGACGGCTCTCTGTGGGGTTCGGTTCGGGGGGTGTAACGCTGGATTTGGTGTTCGGGGTATTCTGCGCGTGTTTTCCAGTTGCCTGGTGATTTTTGGCCTTCAGGCTGGTTGGCAGGAAGACTGCTTCCTTTTCAGATCTGGATCAGGTCAGTTGTTGTTCAAATCTCTTTTATTACTCATATGTTCCGATTTAAAGTGACTCTGAGCTGCTAAATGTTTCATAATGTTGAAGTTGTGAAGCTGCTTTGTGCTTCCATTAAACCTGCTGTCTGCTCTGAGATTAGGGATGGGCGACTCGGTAAAAATATCACGTGTTGTTTTACAGTAATTATCTTATTAAAATGTCCTAACAGATAAATCGAAGCAAATTTTTTTTGTTTGATTTAATGGAGCATTGAAATACTTTTCAAATGATACAGAGATACTTCCTGTTGGGCACAAATTAAAAGGTTCTGTTGGCTCTTGCTAATTAACATACATAAACAAACTTTTGCACAATCTTGGATAATGAGTTTAATGCATTTAATTTTCTCTTGGAATGAATTGTTTTTGAAGTTTTGCACAAAAACCACCAGAAAAAAAACAAAAACAAATGTAGATAATTGTTATTTATCTTTCAGAACTGTTCTTATTTAGCCACCAGTCAATCTGAAGCAGAATGGTTATTAACATCTAAAAGTAAAAACCCAATTTATATTTTTAAAGAAGTGTGATTGCATTTTTTTTGTAAACATTCAGCTAAAAGTGGCTTTTGATTTTTAAATAATCATGTGTATCATTCAGTTAGGTGACGATTTAACTCTTAAAAATATGATCCTAGTTATGAAGTTGCAACCATGTTCAAATTGAAATCTTACTCTGTATCGTTTGGTGCATTCCCGTTTAATCCAGTCATAATTGAATTAGTTGGAAGCAGATTATCTGTCCACCTTATTCAAGTTGTAATTCAAGCAGACCAAAAGAAGGAAGTGGCCACAGCGCAGGGCATTTTGAGTAAATGCAACCAAAACAAACATGCTAGCCGATCGCTAGCACACCTTAAACCAGCTTTAATGAAGTATAGTGTCATCCAAACCTAAAAAATCTTCTATCTTTGCCTTCAAAGTTCACTATTATTTATCCATTATTCACAGTTTAATGGCATTAGACTAATGTATGTCGTTTTGTTTCCATTTCTGTTCATTCAACTGAAGTGAAGTGAAGTGGACTCAGTTAGATTTGGGTTTCTTTCCACTTCAGTTATGATTGAGGAGACTATTGCCATTCATTTTCATGCAGGAACATTAAAGGAAATGTAATGTTTTTTTTCTGATTTACATTAGATTAACTTGTTTATCATGTCAAAAATATGTTGTTTTTTAAATTAAATCAACTGAAAACATCAGAGATAAAGATTTCTGTTTGGACTCTGACAGGCATTTTATTTGCAGGTTTCAAAAAACAAACAGTTTATTACCGTCTTAAAAGTCAGCAAAGTATGAATAATAATAATAAAATAATAATAATAATTAAAAAATGAACAAATTCTTATTATTATCAAAATATTGATAAATAAGTTCATCGAGGCTAATAGTGTTAGCAAGCATGTTAAGATTAGCCTGTTTGCTCATGTTATAAAAGCTACAGTTAGCATTGCACACAGTGCTAGCTTCAGATCGCTAATGACAGAAACACAATGTCCTCTTAGCATAGCATTCACAGCTAACATGCTGGTGTTGGTGAGATGCTAAAATTAGCATCTTGGCTGCTGTTAGCATTTTAACAGACGCCTGTAGATTAATAGACAGCTCCGTTTTCATGACTAATGTGTGCAAATTTTTTTTGATGTTTGGTTTTTCCAATAAATAAATACAAATAAAATCATGCTTGAATAAGCTTATTCACACAATAAGTCATTAAAGTCATGGCAGCAATAAATGTAAACTTGACCGCCACATTTCCTTTTCAGTTTTGCAAAATGCACAAAATCTGATACAGCTGAAAAATCACCTCATTCTAGCAAAAACTTTATTTTCTGGTGAACTTTTCCTTTCAAATTGGCATGTTTCCATTGAATTTTTGCTACTGTTTCCAAACGAGACGTTTTGTAACTTATCCAGAACTAATTTCTTAGAGCGATGGCTACATGCTAATGCTAGAATGTTTGCTGATGTTAGCATTAACAAAAGAAGTGCTGCATTTCTAACTGACAAACTCCAGACTATTCATGGACTTTAGAGCCCAAACAGAAGCATTTTGGACCTTACTCGATAATAAAACAAACTTTATTACTGTGCTAAGCGGTAGACACACAGCGGCAGGTGCTGTTGATATTTATACAGGAATATTCTCCCATGAGCTGTAAACTTGTTGAAAGCAAAAATCCACCATTATTCTGTCGTGCTTGACTATCAGTTCACATCTTGTGTTGGAATCACAAGCTCAGGACTTTCTTGCAGAAAGCTACATGACTCCAACATGGCAGCATGTGAGTGCCGGGGTCACACGTTAATATAAAACGAACACCTGCAGTTTCCTCGCCTCCAACGCTAAGCTAATCCACTGGGCCGCGTGTATTTTTAGCTGCTTGTAGAAAACTATCTGGGCAAAGGGAATCCAGGGGAAATGTTTTGGCAAAACAGAGTGTCAGCATGACAGACGGTGAGTTGTGAGACGACTCAGGTTGGTTCCGGAGGACGGGATGAAGGTTTTTGATGTTCTCTATGGCTACTGCGGTGCTTGTTGGATTTATTTTTAAATGTTTTTATTTAATTAACCAAAAATTATGTTTCTTAAAGGGGTATTCTTGATTTTATGACAGATTGTTTTTTTTTACAAGTTTCCTCTGGTGATGAGCTCCAAGTCTTTTACGTTGGACAGCATCCATTCCATCACCCTAATGTTTTAGTCCTTCCTCAGATTCTTTATCAGATTCACATCTGGACTGTGGCTCAGGCTATAAACATGCTGGTTGAACTAAAGATTATCTTAAATCTAAAATGTGCCAAAGGTTTGAATCACATTAAAATGTCTGCTCTTTGTCAGGTTCGGTGGGACTGAAGGTAAAAAGTCTCTTTCTGTCTCACCTCTGCAGTTCCTCTGATTGTAGTGGAGACGTTTTGGCTCAGTCGTCTTCCTGTGACGTTGCGTCACTGCTGGCATGACCCAGTTTGGTCCTGTTGGACCGATGACCTCACATTTGTCTCCAGAATGTTTTGGTATACAGAAAAGATCATTAGTAACCAAACAAACCAAAGTAACTTAATTTAACACATTACAGGGGAATAAAAGGGGAATTCTGAGCTTGTGAAGTCAAACAAGTTTTCCAGAAAAGTTTCTAAATCGATCTCAGGATGTGACTTAATTTGTGGAAATGTGCACTTCTTTCTATCCAGCAGAGCAACAAACACGAGCTTTTCCAGAGACGCTTGAGGATCTGCGTTCCAGTTACAAAATATTGTCATGAATTTTGTTAAAACTATTTGTCAATATTCTGCTAATGTCAAAAAACACAATTTAGATCTGAAGGATGCAGGATTCAACATGGCGGATCGTCTTGGCCGTTGAGGCGATGGAAACAAATGCTGCGTTCCAGTTAAATTTAAAAATAGGAAATTCCAGCTTCCCTGTCAGATTTTCCACTGGGAAACTGGAGCAACTCCGAGTAGCCCGTGTTAGGAAGTCTGACTTCGTGATTCAATTTGCCGCTCCTCGCATTAACGATAACGAGCGGCGGTGGGAACACCTGAACTTCACAAGCCAGATCCGAAAGTGCCTAGAATCAGAGTCGCATGCATCGCCTGAGACTCTAAGCTGGACAAATTAAACGTGACATTTACTAATTGGAAGTAAAGCTTAAAATGATGTTTATAAGCACTATTCCAAACAACAGGGTGTGACGGGTTTGACGTTAAATCCAGCTTTGAGTTTCCAAAGTAACCGAAACGCAACACCGAAAATACACAGAAGCCAAGAAAACCGCCATGACGCAGCAGAAAGTGCGATGGATGTTGCAGACGCTTTGTTTTGCTTTTTCTCTGCTAAATTCAATCAGAAAGCTCTTGCTATTGCTGAATTCACGTTTGGTCTCCAGAGATTCTACGAGATTTTCCAAATGTCGGCGAGTGAAATCGGTTCCTGTGTTTTGGAAATCGGCCGACAATTTTAAAATCTTGCGGTGGAACCAGACTGTCGGCTTTCTTCTGCAACGCTGCATGTGTTTGTTTTTTTGTCTTCAACATATTTTCCTCAACGATTTTAACTGTAAACTTCTGGAAGAACTGGAAGGTTGACGTTGAATCAGACTGGACCAGGCCGATAAACTCTGTCGGCGTCTTTCCTGTCGTTTGGATGTTGCATCACAGATCGTTGCTGTAACTGGGTTGTCATCTCCGTCTGGTCCCGTTTCAGGTTACGTGAGCTTAAATACCGAAGCTCGGCTCGGCGTGGTTTTGGTTTTCAGACCCAACACGTCTCTGTCTGGAAACTCTGCACTTTGCCACCAGTTGTTTACAGGTTCGGATCTTGGCTTGGTGTTTGGGTGGAGCGGGGGACACGTTGTACCACTGTGGGTTG